CAATGTATTTCAAAACACTGAATAATAGGCCTTTTAATTTAAGACAGGGATTTGAGGTAAGGTTTTTCTCTGTGGTAATATGCAAATGTTGCAAATTTTCAATGAGTTTGCTCGGCCTGTGCACGTGGGAATTTTTTGAGTTAAAAAAAATCAAATTCAAGCTGTTTTTTTAATTACAATAAATAACTTAACATTATGTATTCATCTATTCTTGTGGCAATTTTTTTAAAAACTGAATAAAGAAAGACTAGCATTGATTTGCTTTATTGAAATAACCAACATTCTGGCCCATGCAAAAGCGCAGCTTAATCAGGCAGTAAAACCCTATCCATTTGATGTTTTTTAAAGAAGAGACTTCTAATTTCTTACTGTGAGATTTTAAAAATTTTAAAAATGAAATTCTTCAGCTCGCTCATGCTTAAGATTTTTGGCAACCATTTGAGTTGAAAGCTCTCTTGAACGCCTTCTCACAAATGGTCTCCATTATCTCAATGAACGTGAACAAGACTGAACTTCCCGCTACAAAAGGGTTTACCATGGTGAACTGCAAGCTATGAAACATGGCTCACAGGAGCAACCTTAATTGAAATAGGTGTAAACTTAAGCCGCATAAACCATACGCTCGACTTCAGGAGACCGAAAAAAAACACATCATAGACAATAATTGCCCAGGCTTACCAGTCGAGATGCTGCTTCTGAAGATCATCAAGTGTTCCAGAATCGCTTGAGACTTTTCAACCCTCTTATGCCTCAAGCAAGGGCAAGTGAGCAAGCTCATTTTTGAAAACGATGCCATCCGAAATCGGATACAAATGCAAGGAGCTCCGCATTAGTTTTACATCAGATTTTGACTTTCCTCCAGTAGTCATGGGAGAGGAGTGCATCAAATTAGTTAAAGATGCTAAACTTTTGGGTGTTACTATCTCTGGTGACTTAACATGGAATGCGCACATCACGGAAGTTACTAAGAAGGCAGCTAAGAGGCTCTATTTTCTTGTTCAGCTAAAAAAGCTCGTGTTCCACGGAAAGATTTATGCCTTTTTTACATTACATGCGTGCGCTCCGTCATTGACTATGCTGCGCCAGTTTTCCATCACGCGCTACCAGCCTACCTTTCGCAAGAATTAGAACGCGTTCAGAAAAGAGCAATGCGAATCATATGTCCTGGTATAGAATATCAGCAAGCTTTAGCGCTTATGAGTTTACCAACGGTTGCGGAGCATCACCACAACATTTGCACGCGCACGTTTGAAAGCATAATGAGCGACCCGAACCACAAGCTAAGAAAGCTGTTGCCGCCTCCATATAAGAGCAACTATAATCTAAGGCACGCGCGCACTTTCACTTTGCCTCGTTGCAAGGCAAATAGATTTAAGAACAGTTTTTTTAGGCCTCAGGCAGAATTGTAAATAATTTTTAGGTTTCTTATTATACGTTTTTAGTTTTAGCTATTACAATTATTGCCCATTTTTACAATTGCTAGTATAAATTATTATCATTACGTAAATACGCAATTCAGCTTACGCTGCAATGTATTTAATAAAGTACCTATCTATCTATCTATCTCGGATTTCCAATGACTTCGACAAGCGGTGCATTTGTCAACAAAAAGCGCAATAAACAAACCAGCCATGAATTACAGAACAATCTTGATAGCAGCTGTATTTCATTTTGTACACCAAGTAGAAAAAGACAGTTTCAAACATCACAAGATGACACAAAACTCTGTCAGCTCCAGCTATCAGTAAGCAAGTTACCAGACGCTGCATAAATTTTTCCGCATGAACTCACCTGTCAAATTTTGACCAATCAGAACATAAAAATTGGACGTAGAGCGTGATCAACGCGTGACAGTGAGAAAAGTCAAAAGCAATTGCCTTTCCTGCATCAGTGCATGGAAATGTAAAAGCCGGTTGAATTTTCGCGTCCGAGGTCAGTTCGAAATCAAAATTTTAGAAGTGTGGCTAATGAACACGACTTATTTCATATGCATTTAAAAAAAATTGAACTTGAGCCTGCGATCATTTGAAAGGTAGCAACTTGTCAGCGGATACCTTAAAAAAAAACTCGGACTCAGTGGGTCGATACCTGAGCCCGCGATAGGCCAGGCGATACTGGTCAGCAGACACACTATTTTGACAGCTGTCAATTAATCAAAACATGGATGTACAATATCAGGTTGCAGGCTTCCAAACTAGCTAGAAAGTGTGAGATTAAACATTGGTATGCCTGTGGTGCGGACGGACGGAAGGTCGGGTGGTCAGTGTACGGTCACGTGATTGCCGAATTTTCTAGGATGGATAGATTTTTAAGCTATGGGGCTTCGAATTGAGCCCGTGATCAAATAAAATATCTGCGCAAAACATAAAACACTATGTGACCTCAATGGATAGAAAAATGAGCCCGCGATACACTCAGGTAATGATGGTCAGCGTATACTCTAGTTTGACAGCTGTCAATTAACCTTCATTAGAATGGCGAATATTCGAATCAACAGACTACGAGTGGGAGTAAGACATATCCGTCCGGCATGTATTGGAAAATGCCAGATCGTGTACCTGAGCGAACCTGAGCCCACGTTATTAGTTTTCTGATAGTGGTCTGCACATGTTCCATTTTGACAGCTGTCAATTGACCTTAATTTGGCTTGCCAATATAACTTTAAACGACTGTCAGCTAACTGACAGCCTTGCGATGAGCTCCGATGAGCGCGCGCGAGAGCTCCGCTATAAGAAGCGGGATCGGAGGGTCGCGGGTTTGATTCCCGCTGGGCTCCCGCCGGGGCCGGTCCAGCTCTCAGTGTCCTAAAATAACTGACAAATGAACGTACTGTCTTTGCCCCGCAAAGGCTAGACTTTCGCGTGCCTCGGATGTCCACATAAATTGGCTGCCCCGTCTCCAGTAGATGACGTAAAAATAGTGCCCTCATATCGTACTTTTGTACTAAATACATTGACACTCATAAATTATGCTTATATGTGAATATGACGAATAACGCGAATATGAAAGGAACAGTTTGTCTACCGCAGTACAAATTGTGCACAGCTGGTATAGCACCAAGCAGTGTATTACAGCTTGTCAGTGCTGTCCCCTGTGGGTTGGGGATCATCTTATTTCAGGTTCAACAGCCTCTCTTGCAAACCAAACGGTTTAAAACCCATTCCCATTTTTTTATCACCGCAGTTAATAAAAAGAGCAGTACAGTGAATTTAGTTAGGGCGCGTTCCATTGACCGTATTCCGTCCCGATTAAGAATACACTGAATAAATTCAAAAAAATCACTTTACTTTCATTACATGGTAAAACATGGTTCTCACAGCCAGAAGTTTCTGCAATTCCCTGACTACTCCCTAACGGACTTTTTCCTGATAAAATTTCCCTGACCAACTGAATTAACAACTGCACAAATTAGTCCTGATAATGGGCTCAACCCTCTTCTTCGAGCCATCCTCTTCACTCATTTTGCTTTCAGCAAGTCACGTGCAGTGTACATGAATTGATAGTTCCTTAACATAACGTTCAAAAAGGATCGATTTTCTTGAAAACCTAACGGCAGCTTGTTCGATTTCATGAACAATATTCTACAAATAAAACATAGTTCATGTCCGTGAAATGTACAAATGAAGTCTTAAAATTTCACTTTTCTCTGACTTCTTTCAAAGACTTAAGTTTTCCCTGACTCAAGTGAAATTCCCAGACTTTTCCCTGACCTGGAAGAAATTTTTTCCCCTCCCTATTTCCTGAGCTGCAGCAACCATGTAAAATCTGGAAATGTGGTGGACAGAGAAGAATGAAGCACTTCAATGGTGCAAAAATTTGCGGTCGAAAGGATTTGCCACAATTTTCTGCGTATTCTTATTCCGGAAAACGATCAATAAAACGCATTCTTGATTGGTACATTCTGTAAAGTCGCTTTCCATTAGTCAGGGGCTCTGCCCGGCCAGACCAGCCAACTGCTAAAGTATATTCCGGCGTCAAGCAGATCTGTCCAGTCAGATAAGTAATATATCAAGCAGGAGATGTAGTGTTTCATAACCAGATGAAACACCGAGAAGAGAGTTGAAAATACGACGCGCAGCGGAGTATTTTTGAAGATGAAACACTGTGTCGAATGCTTGATATTACTCCTTAAACAAAATGATTTTAGAAAGAGAAATTAAGGAAGCAAAAATGAGCAGTTTTTCATCTGATTTCCAAACACTCATTAAACATTTAAAATTTCCTTTGTATTTTCTTTAGGAATTATTAATGAGTTTGAAAAGTCTCTTACTAAATTCTGTGCATAACATTGTTGGGTTTCTGCTGAAAACTCTGGAAAAAAGCCTCTTTCGTTTTCAAGATAAACAGTCTGGCCGGCCAGCAGTTCTGGCTTTAGGTAACCGCCCTTAGGCTAGGTACACACGGCTCCGGACCAGTTGAAAATTCGTGCCTTTAATAGAGACCTTAAAATACACCTTTTCTGTGTACGGGTAAGGGTAAATTAGCCGTACACGTAGCCGTAAATACGGGTAGATTGCCTCTTACCCGAGAAAAACGGGTAGGCTACCGGCTAGAATGGTTACGCCATCATCAAATCTGGAGATACTCAGCTGCCTTTTATAACACTACGAGGTAAACATGTTGGCTTACTCGAACCCGTAGACTGGCACGGTATATCTTAAGGTCACTAATAGCTGTTCCGTTTACAGGGAACCACCTTTAACCGTACGGAAATTTCGACGCACAGCCGTTCAAAGTTCCGTGTAAACAAAGTGAAAAAAATGAACGGTCCTGTAAGAATGAAGTGTCCGGTTGAAAATTTATCCGGTGCCGTACGAACGTAGCCTTAGTCGGGTCTTTGAAGGCAATGAATCGCTATCTGCTTAATCACTTTGCACTTTGATTGTAACCAAGAAAAACCAAAAGATAACCTGAGTAACTTTCATTTAGAGAAAAATTGTCATGGTCGGTAATTGCAGTCTTTTAGCTACATAATTAAAACTGCAAAAATGATAGATAATTCAATCACTCTTTTTATTTTTCAGTGTTTTCTGTAACACATGTGCATCTGCTGGTTCAATATGTTTGTAATACTGTTTCTTTGTTTCTATTATTTCAAACCCAAATCCTTTATAAAATCCTATGGCTCCTTCATTGCTGACTTGGACATGCCTGTAAATTAGTATGACAGTTTGATTAGTAACCTGTCTTTCACATCCGTCATAGATTACAATTTATTTCAACACATTTTTTTTTCTGTTACTAAAAAAGAGTTATTGTTCTCTGTTGTGTTTCCTTATAATGCATCAGTAATTTGAATTTCACTTTCCCTATTGATGTTATTAAGGTGAAGCCTTGTGTGAATACCTTTCGAATACCTTCCTTGACTCAATGAGCATAAATAAATAGTAATATAAATAGTGGCTAGTGGTGGGGTGGGGGAGGGAGGGGATTTGCCTTGTTGATGACCAATTCAAAAGTTTTTGACATTCGCCTTCCTCACCCCACCCCTTTGCTTGGGAAAGTAAATTATAACAAAGACATTAGTATAATGTAATCATTAATATAATGTAATAAGAAAGATAACCACGGAGAACTTAACAAAAGGTAACAAAAGAGAGTCAGATGTTACCATTTCTAGTGTGAAGAAGTTGTAAAGAGAAAAGGCAGTAGATCACGGTAGAAATTGAATATCATTACACAGGACAATGTGACAGTTTAGGGTAATTTGATGCCACCATACATAGTATTACCAAGGTTAAATTTAGGACCCAGACGTGAGACCAGGAAAGGAACAGGGTGGAGAGAAAAGAAGACAAACGAAAAACAAAAAAAGGTGGAAGAAAAGAATTGAAGATGAATGGCCAAAACATGTAAGCACAAAGAAAGCATTCCAAGTTAGCCTGTTTCTTAAGACATAATAGTTAATTCATTGTTTTTAATACATTTTGTAATTTAGGCCTAAATACCAGCTACAGCATTGCACTGCCAGAAAATAAACAATGGGAAGTAATCATCTAGCCTGAGAAAACAGCCAACATTAATTTTCAAGACACCACCACTGGTTTCATAACATCTGAGGAACAAGTGCAAAAATTCCATACTGATGACGTGTCACAGATTACAGCTGTTTTCACAGGCTAATAATTATGTACTGGTTGAAAAATTACCTTGGTTCAAGTAGTGGGAGATAAAAATGAAATTTTAATCAAGGGTAAAATGGAACCACAAGATATTTTTTTGTTTTTGCATCAAGATGATCTGACACATGATGAATGAGAGCTTTAAGCTTTAAAAATGAGAAAGGTGGGTTAATGATGGTGGTGATGATGATAATAATAATATGGATAATGAACATATTCAGAATAAAAAGACTTGATTACCTTAAAAGGAACTGGATAAAGGTGAAGTAAAGGATGATGATGATGATGTATCATGTAAATTGAGCTGGTATCTCAACAGAGTCACCTTCTTCTCAATATTTTTTCCTTATTATGTAAGATACACTTCACTACTTTAACCAACATACATGTACACTAACTACAGATTGCAAGGATTTGTCAGATACCAGCATTCATTTTATTTTCATTCTTCTCTACCTAGCTTATATGTTTCATGGTTGGGTTGTTATTATATATGTTGTGGTTCAATTTTATCCTTGGTTTTAATATTACTTTCTTTTGTTTTTGGGTATGGTAATGTATGATAATGAGTTTGAAACAAAAGAAAAGAAAATTTCAACCAACAATAAAATTCACTAACCATTCCTGACCAATCTTTTCGGAGCAAAACCATCATGTGCAACGCTAATGAATGCTTGCGTTACTGAACTCAAATGATAGTAGTCTGGTAATTGGTCTTCGCCTATCACCACTAACCTATCCACAATTAAAGTCACTTACAAATAAACATTGTCAATGTTGCCATCTTTGTCGCAGCATTTCAAAACATGTTCAAGCATCACAGTCCCTTAAAAAAAAAAGAAAAAAAGGAAGTGAAATTAATAAATGAACTTAAAAATAAATGTGTCATTTTGCAAGCAAAGTAGATAATATTATTGTGTTTGCAAAGCACAATAAAGGCATGGCAAGCAATAGAGCACAAACATTGAAATAAAACATTGAACTACAAAACTCTGTTCATTTCATGAAATTTTACGAGGATAAATCTTTTCCAGGAACCAGTATGTTGCAAATATTGTTAAAGTCACTAACAAGTCAAATAATAATAATAATAATAATAATAATAATAACAACATTTACATGTATAAGCACAAATTTCTATGTTCATAATCATAATCTCAAAATAAGTACAGTGGAACCCCGAATTACGGCCACCTTGGTTATACGGTCACCTTGTTATTCCAGCCACTTTTTTGGTGTGGCAAAATGGCCATACATTTTCTAATAAAAAAACTCTTGTTAGTATGGTCACCTGTTAGTAAGGCCAATGGCCACATTTTAAAATCCCAAACAGTAGAATCTTTTACAATTTCATCTCCTTAATATGGCCACTCGTCAGAAAGAGAACATAAATGTATAAGAAGAAGTCAGGGGCACCCAAAGACTGTTTTCTGTAAAATATCTGTTCGGAGAAGCAAATATTGCCTAGAATTTTCTATTGCTTGAATACGGCTAAAAATTTCTAGATGAGCATTCCATACAGGTACAATTTTCAAGGTTATCTAAAAAATTCCCAATGATTTTCTGAAGTTTGATTTTTAATATTAATACTCATGTTAGGGTAATTTTCATAGAAAAAGGAAACCTAAACTTTTTGGATTCAAAAATGTGGAGAAAGGAACAAGAAAAATTCTCACTTTGGTAAAATGTTCAGTTGCATCTAAAATTTTCAGGAAAATAACACTGAAGCCCTTGTAATTTCAGATACAAAACAGATACAAATTTTATAGCCCCGGTTAGAATGCATTTCTAGAGATCTAAAAGTACTCTGGATAGCCTAAAAAGACTTTGCAGTGTATTTAGGAGGAAATCATCATGGGGTGCCCCTGAGAAGTGCAAAGGCAATGCACAGTGTATTTGTCATTACGGTCCTTAAGTCATGAAATTTGACCCAGTCCCAGTAATGTGGCCACCCTGTTAATATGGCCAATTTTGTATGACCCATTGGTGACTATCAATGTGTTTCCACGGTATTTTCACTATAAATTCAATATTTAACCCAAAGAACGGTGACAGTTTCATGTGCAGTTGTAGAAATTAACTTGTGTGGTGAAAATAATGGGTCATATTCAGGTCTCTCAAAATTAATAATTAATTTTGACGTTTTTGACGTTTTTAATTTATTCTTCCTTTGAGTTTGTGAAAAGAGTTTCAAGCTCTGTGTTTCGATGGTTTGAGCTTCAGTGGCTTTCAAAGTGGGGCCTTGGTCTGTACTAGCTTCATTGTCAATAATAGCCATGAGGCTTTCTGTTATAATATTTGTTTTTGTCATTGTATCAGTCTTTTTGAAGCTTTCAATGCTGCTCTTATTTCTGCAGCCGCTTACAAATATGATTTGTCAAGCTTAAAATCGCCATCTGTCAAGTATAGTAATCATCATTCCCTTATTGAATGATTTGTGTATGTTGCTTGGTGTGAGAAAACTTCTTCTTTTTGAGAGTGTGCTTTTGAGATGACTTTGGTCGCTGAATAAGGACCATCTTCAATTGATTCAAGTGACTGAAATATTTTTCAGAGGAAGAAAAAGGGCCCAAGGCACGCCCAGTTATAAATTCTCTTTAGTCCTCTCCATAATATCTGGGCACTTTTACATACAGGCACTGTAAATTGTTCACCCAGTTTAACCCAGTACTTGAAAACAACTTACTTCACATGCATCAAACACTCACCATGTATCACATGGTAAAAATAAGCCCATAAAAACTAATGTTAGCCAGATGAATGGTTTGCAAGAGAACTGTACACAGGCACTATTTTCAGAGAATTCTTACAGCCCCCGAATTTTTTTCTTTTGCTGGACATTTACAAGGCTTCATTTCAAAAGGAAAAGGTTTTGGTGAAAGCTTTTAGGATGAGGGGATTAGATTGGAAGGAAGTGCAGGTGGGTAGTGGGTGTTGTGAACAAGGGAAGACGTTTGCCCACAGAATATTACGATTTAATCACCAAATCTCTTACTAACACAAACATGGTGGCAATCTGCGACCACGAGGATTGCAGGCTCAAACAATAAAGTCATAAATCACACTACATATACAACACAACGAGTTATAGTGTAACGCAATACGTCACACAACTCTCACAGTGTTCAAGGGTTTCTAGTTTCTAGCTTTAGTTCACAATGTCATTTACACCACAGTGGGGAAAGATGTACTTATTCTGGTATGGTTTAGAAGATCTCTTCCCAAGTTACATGACAAAGTTGTCCTTGACCGTTACAACAGATGACATCACAATACCACCACCACTTGATCAATCAGATCAATAACCATAGTTTTAATAACACCACCAACTGACAGGAAACAGTTCCCTTTGATTCTGAAGATGACTCTATACATGTACCACACAGGTTGTTCAAGAGTCAAATTATCAACAACAGCCCATTAAGGACTACACTCATCAAGATGATCATAATTCCACCTACTACATGTATTATGGCTTAAAATAATGTTGTCCAGTCAGCATACATACCAATTCCCAGTCTTCTATATGGGGCTAAACACCCCAGAGTCATGATATACAACCTTCTGGCATCTTCAGTCTGGTCAATACGACAACACACTGCACCAACAACAATGTCATTGTAATAGGCTAGAACAGCAAAAAAGAACTGAAGATTAAAACCAGTTCATTGAACTAGTAATAAGAAAGCTATTTAGCCCTGGAAGACTTACATTTTATATGTATTTGAGCAGTTTCAGGCCAAAAGTCGTGTACATTCTGAAAAAAGAGCCGAGCACAAAAGAAAGAGAGAAAAAAGAGACACTAGAACTTTTTCTGCCCATCTTTTATCATTTGTTACTACCTCAGAGAACCTTCACATAATTTCATATGAAACTACATGTACAACACCTTTTGATTATGTTTTAAAATTGAGATAAAAAGTATGTTCAAGTCAATCAAATTGATCTTTAATTTAAGCTCTGACAGAATCTTTCTCTACAGCAGCTGACTTCTATAAGCTATGTACATGTAGCCAACTAGTTTTGTTGAACATTGGTGCTTATTGAAACTCCTGCCACCCCATGGCTTAGAAAGCTTTCAGAGGTGGCGCTGAGCAAGTAACATTTTAAACAAGTGTGGGGAACAAACTTTTTTAGCCAGTGCCAGTTCAGGTGTTTGATTGCTGTTTTAGGTAAATTCTGTGCTTAAGTCATTACTTTGTGCCTTTACCCATACACAAAATTATCCTAAATTGACATTTTTTACCGTTGGTTGCATCTAAGTGGTACACATGGCTGAAAAATAGGTTCTGACTGGGTGAAAACATGAGATATTTTGCCACCAAACATTCAAAGTTTGGGGTTTATTTTCATATGCTCAATAAAATATTCATCGCAAGAAACATTAGACATTTAGAAGAATTTCTGGAGTTGTAAAACTCCAAAAAATAATTGTTAAAAGCAAGTGAGCTGTTTTTAAGCAAGAAATAGTCCTGAAAGACAAGAAAAATAGATGAGCGGGACACGCTGATCAAAAACATGTCAACACCATAAACCATTACCTTTGGCACGACAGTTTGCTTTAATGGCTGTCAAACTTCAAATTTTTGGCACCCTATCAGAACACGCTTTTTGCCTTGTGTCCATGCTTAAATGCAAACGACAGTATTCTGTCTGAGATAAGTTATCAACCTTTAGCAACAGCCACGAGGGAAGGCACATTCACCTATAAAGTTGCTCACTGTTTGTACATATATAGTGTTATTACATAAATAAGCTATCTCCATCATTTCATTTGATTATAACAGAAATTACCTAGTTTTGCTAGTTCTCCAACCTCGAGTACATCCTTGTAAAACTGCAGAGCAATAACTAAATCAAGTTAGTCCATGAGAACCCAATATACATAAATCTAGCAGGCCAAGATCTTTGAGGATTTTACAAAGATCTTGAAGATTCCAACAAAGACCTTCAAGATACATGCAAAGAACTTCCAGGATCCTTGACGATCTTTGCAAGAACCTTGAGGACCTTGGCAAGAATTTTGAAGATCTTTGAGGATTGTTAATAAAGATCCTTAAAGATCTGCTCTAGGATCTTCATGCAAATCTTCAAGGATCTTCAAAGACCCTTGAAAGATTTTCACCAGGGTAGGCCCTGCACAGTAACTGTATTTAACAATTATTCCTTGAGCTCGAATGGGTTCTGAGTGAATAACCCATGAGGCCGAAGGCTGAATGGGCTATTGACTCATGACCTCTCAATCGACAAAGATAACATTCGCTCAGTCAAAATGAAGAAAACTTCATAGTATACTCCGCCCATTTTTCTAATGTGAAGTTGTGTTGTGTTATGGCTGAAGAACTCGCCAGAAAGCGACGGCAGCGTGCAGGGCACAGGTCAAGTGCGAAACGTATTATTTCATCTGTTATTGATGTCCTTGGAGGAGGAGACATTTCTCAAGTGCGGGAACACGAAATCAAGCTGAAACAACAAAGGGACAGCCTACAGCAGAAACTCAACACTCTTCGGCAACTTGATGCAGAAATTCTTGACCTTGTGGCCAAAGAAGAAATCGAAGGTGAAATTGAACGAGCAGATTTGCTGGAGGAAAATGTTCAGTTGGCTATTGCTAACATAGAAAACGCCTTGTCGCCGAAGGTCATGTGTTCAAATGTAAATACCGAAGCGAACGTGTCGGAAAGCACGTCAGCAAATGAAGTTCAAATCGGGAGTAATTCTTCGCCTCCTTCAGCTTCAACGTCGAATTCCTCTTCATCTGTGCGGAGAAATACTCAAGTTAAATTGCCAAAGCTGGAGTTAAAGAAGTTCGACGGCGATCACAGTAAGTGGATTTCTTTCTGGGATAGTCTTGAAGCCTCAGTTCATAAAAATGAGAGTTTAACTGCCATTGACAAATTTACCTACCTAAACTCGTTGCTCGAACGGTCAGCGGCAGAGGCCATTTCCGGGTTAAGTCTTGGGGCATTGAACTATGAGGAAGCAGTAGACATTTTGAAAGCTAGATTTGGCAACAAGCAGCAAATAATTAATCGTCACATGGAAATTTTGTTGAATCTTGAATCTGTCACATCTCACTATCATGTAAGAAGCCTACGTCAGCTGCACGACACTGTTGAATCTAATGTGAGAAGCTTAAAGTCATTAGGAGTTTCACGTGAATCGTATGGGGGTTTGCTATCATCCATCTTAATGAATAAGCTACCTCAAGAATTTCGTCTTGTTATTACAAGAGAAATTGGAGATGATGATTGGCAGTTGGATCAATTGCTCAATATTTTTAAAAAGAGAACTTGAGGCAAGAGAAAGGGCAGGAGGGTCTACGGTGAACAAAGGACAAACCTCTCCACCAAAACCGAAAACGAAGGGAAGAAGGAACTACACATGCCTTGTTAACTGGTGGTGATGCTAACTGTCCCACCTGCACCTACTGTAGGGGAAAACACCCATCAAGGGATTGCCAAACAGTACCTGATGTACTAGCTCGTAAGGAGCTTTTGAAGAAGTACGGAGATGTTTTGTTTGCCTGCGAAAAGATCACATTAGTCGTAACTGCTCAGCCAAATTCAAGTGTCATAACTGCAAGGGCAGACACCATGTTAGTATTTGCCCAGCCAACCTGAGTCCTTTACAGCCAACGAAACCTGAAACACCAGTTCCCACACCAGGACCACAACAGCAATGCTTAACAGCTCAAACTGCCAGCAATAGTGTCGTTTTTCATACTGATTCCACTACACCTGTGTTCCTTCAAACTGCCCAAGCAGTGGTGTACAATCCTCAACAGCCAGAGGTTAAGGTCAGGGCTAGAATAATCTTGGACAGTGGAAGTCAGCGCACCTATCTTACAAACAACCTGAAGAACATTCTTCAACTACCTACACTTGAGAAGAAGCAAGTCTCAATAAAAACTTTTGGAAGTACCGTTGAAAGATTAGAGTTGGTAGAAGTTGTGGCCCTAGGAGTAGAGCTAAACGGAGAACCAGATCTTTCACTGTCAGCTTTTACATTGCCTCTGATTTGCCAACCATTACAAGGCCAACCTGTGGAGCTAGCAGTGAAAAATAACCCCTGCCTTTTTGGACTCAAACTTGCTGACTTTTGTACCGAAGGAGAGACTCTTGGTGTTGACATTCTAGTTGGTTCAGATTATTATTGGAAGTTGGTGACTGGCCACACCATTAAAGGGGCCCAAGGTCCTACAGCTGTTCACACCAAACTGGGATGGGTACTTTCAGGACCCATTTGCTTAGGGAGTGTAGAAAATCAACAGAAGTAATCTTGTGACAACCCATGTCTTAAAATGTGCTACTGATCAAGTGTCTTATGATGGTCTTCAGGGAGAGTTAAAGAAGTTCTGGGACTTAGAGTCTCTCGGTGTGAAGCCGCCAAGTGTCTATGAAGAGTTTGTTGAGAAGTTGTTGTACAAGGGAGACCACTATGAGGTCAGTCTCCCGTGGAAGGCTACACATCCACCACTCTCTGAAAATTATGAGTTGAGTCTTCGAAGATTGCAAGGTTTGCTGAGTTGACTCCGTGAGAAGCCAGACATCCTGAAGGAGTATGACAGTGTTATAAAGGATCAAATCGAAAGAGGAATTGTGGAAGTTGTGAATGAAGAAACCAAGCCTGATGTCGTCCATTACATCCCTCATCACGCTGTTATCAGACGAGACAAGTCAACTACAAAGTTAAGAATTGTATATGACGCCTCAGCCAAGTCAGATGGAGCTTCATTAAATGATTGTCTTCATGCCGGTCCTGCGCTTACACAAAGTATCTTTGACATTATGTTGAGGTTCCGAAATCACAGAGTAGCTCTGGTGGGAGACATTGAGAAGGCGTTCTTAATGGTCCATATGAATGAAACTGACAAGAATGTACTCCGTTTCCTGTGGGTCGATGACATCGATAAGGCTGAACCTAAAGTTATTACACTGAGGTTTACACGTGTTGTGTTTGGACTCTCTTCAAGCCCATTCTTACTGAACGCCACAATTAAACATCATATAGAGCAGTATGAACAATGTGACCCTGATTTTACCAGGAAGTTTCTTGAAAGTATCTATGTTGATGACCTGACATCGGGGGACAGTGACGTGGACAGCACCTTTGAGCTCTATGTGAAATCGAAATCGAGGCTCAGGGAAGCAGGTTTCAATTTGGGGAAGTTTATCACAAATTCAGGAGAACTGCAAGAGAGAATTGAGGACAATGAGAGATTGGTCTCAGGAGAAACAGCTTCTGGAGATGGAGGGAATGTTGACAAGCAGGTTGTTGAAACACCAGTAGTAGACACAAACGTCGTGGAAGAAGAAGATATGACCTATTCAAGAAGTGTTCTAGGAAGTGCAGTTGAAGATGTTAGCGTTCGAAGAATTTTAGGGACTCTATGGAACTATCACAATGACAACCTCGTCTTTGATTTTACAAACACTGCCTCTTTAGCAAAGAGAGTAGAACCTACTAAGAGAAACGTGATTAGCACAGCCTCAAAAATGTATGATCCACTCGGTCTGATTTCTCCAATCACAGTCCAGTTTAAAATCCTGTTTCAAGAGTTGTGCAAGGACAAGAGAGACTGGGACGAACCACTGGAAGGTTCTTGCAAGCCAATCTGGCAGAGATTGGTGACACAACTGCAGGGTGTTAAACCTCTTACTCTTCCGAGATGTTATTATGCTGGCACGGAAGGGGAAGTGATTGCGAGGGAACTGCATGGGTTCTGTGATGCATCAGCTAAGGCATAGGGTGCGGTGATCTTTCTGCGTATTGTGACGACATGTGCAAGTTATGTCAGATTTGTATCTTCAAAAACACGAGTAGCACCTCTCTCGGAGCAGACCATACCGCGTCTAGAACTGTTATCCGCGGTAGTCCTGTCCAGACTGATCCATAGCGTAAAGGAAGCACTTAGTTCTGAGATGAAGATTGACAAATTGTTTTGTTGGACAGATTCCAAGATAGCCTGGTATTGGATTGTTCAGAGCCAGAAGGAGTGGAAACCATTTGTTCAGCACCGTGTTGACGAGATAAGAAAGCTTGTACCTGAAGAATGCTGGAATCATTGTCCAGGGGCTGACAACCCAACCGACTTACTCTCTAGAGGTATGGACTGTCGTGAGTTGGAGAACAGTGTGCTATGGTGGAATGGTCCCAAGTGGCTGACTAGTTTCGAAGGCCTGGAGAATCGGAAGGAGATTGCGGAAGAGCCAGTCCCTGAAGCCTGCCTTGTAGAAATGAGGGTGAAGGATCGGAAGACAGTAACGACTGCTCTTGCAATGAACAGTGAACCTACTATGCTGTGTAATATCATTCAAAGTGAAGCCTTCAGTAATCTTGGACATCTCCTGCGAGTTACAGCCTTAGTTCTGAAGTTTATTAAGCTATTAAAGGCACAGCGACAGGGAGATGTGAATCAGAAGCCAGAGATACGTGTGACCGGTGCAGACATAGAAGAAGCCGAACTTCTATGGATCAAGGAAGTACAACAAGAGATGAAGAGTAAGGAGAAGTTTAAGATGAGGTCGCACCAGCTAGGGTTGTTTGAGGACGATAAGGGAGTTATTCGATGTCAAGGTAGACTCGGGAACAGCGAGCTTACAGATTCTGCGAAGTATCCAGTCTTGCTTGACACTAGCCACCACTTAACTACACTTGTAGTATGGAGATGTCACGAAAGAGTCATGCATGGAGGAGTTAAGGAAACACTCACCGAGTTGAGATTGAACTTTTGGATTGTTCGAGGCCGATACTTTATCAGAAGTTTGTTGTTTAGATGCACAGTTTGTAAGAAGTTTGAAGGGAAACCGTATAAGGTTCCGCAAGCTCCACCTCTGCCTAGCTACAGAGTGAAAGAGGCGCCTGCATTCTCGTACATTGGTTTGGATTATGTTGGACCTCTTTTTGTGAAGTCTACCAGTGAGGAAGAACGTAAGGTCTGGATTTGTTTACTTGTTGTGCTACGAGGGTGGTCCACTTCGAGGTTGTGCCCAATATGACTTCAGAGGCATTTCTGAGGTGCTTCAGAAGATTTGTAGCTCATCGTTCAAGGCCTTCTTTAGTGGTATCAGACAATGCCAAGACCTTCAAGAGTGCTTCTAAGGAGCTTGAGAAGATTACAAATGATCCCAGTGTTGTTAAGTACTTTGCCCAAGAGAAGATCAAATGGTCCTACAACTTAGAGAAAGCCCCATGGTGGGGAGGCTTTTACGAACGACTTGTCAAGTCACTGAAGAGATGTCTTAAGAAGACAATCGGCCAAGCCAAGCTTTCCTATGATGAACTTGTAACTGTTGTTACAGAAGCTGAAATGATCTTAAATTGCCGACCCATTTCATATGTCTCTTCTGAGGACCTGGAAGAACCCCTCACACCGTCCCACCTCATTGTTGGTCGAAGACTCGGCGCCCTTCCTGAAATAGACAGTCCTGCAGATGCAGACTTTAGAATTTCGCCGGACGACCTGAGCAGAAGAGCAAGACACCTTGATATGATTCTGACTCATTTTTGGAAGCGTTGGAGAGCAGAATACCTTCTTGAATTACGAAATGCCCATAACCAATTGAAGAAGACGGCAGGATCAAGGGTAGTGTGTGTCGGAGATCTGGTATTGGTTCATGACGAAACCCACCCAAGATCTTATTGGAAGATGGGCAAGGTGGAACGGCCTCTGATGAGCAAGGATGGGCAGAGTAGAGGTGCTGAGGTCAGAGTCCAAGGGAGAGGATCAAGTGGAGGTGGACTCTTAAGGAGACCGCTACAATTGTTGTACCCACTGGAAGTAAGCTGTTCTACGAATGAAGCAGGAACAAGTACTTGAATCACCGGAACAGCCAACTCAAGGTCGAGCGAGAGGAAATCGAGAGCGGCGTAGAGCTGCAGTCGAGGGAGAACGAAGAAGAAGACAGTGGATTGCTGAATTACAAGACGAACATTAAGTTTGTTTATGTGTTCTGAACATTGAACATTTTTGAGAGAGAGACTATATTCACTGAGTTATATCATTATTATTTTTTATTTCTTTTCGATATTTGATTCTAGGTATAGAAGGTGGACCATTCTTCACGGTCCACGGGGGGGAGTGTGCGCGATGACGTAAGAGTTTAGGAGCACGCTAGGCCTTCTGGGAGAGATCCGAAAATGTGTTGCGTTCTTGTAGCCATCTTGACGATCTTTGAACCTTTAGTGAATTGAATCTGTGGAATCCTGTGTAATCCTTTAGAAGTTGGACCCTTTGGAGTGTTGTAACCTTTAGGAATCGAGCCTGACAATCCTTGGAATAAAATACAGTTCATATTCTCCTACAGTTCTACATGTATTTCACTCCCACATGAACGCACTGACTTTCCCTTGGGAGAGACTAGAGATTTACATCAGCATTTGATTGCCATTTTATCGCTTCTCAGCCAGTTAGAAACTTCCGTATGCCTGGTTGCAGACTATTCAAAATACCCAAACATTGTGGCAGGTGGGATTTCAAATTTACTTTTACCCACTCTTCTCGTTGCTCCACTGCCAAAACAATACAGCCCTCCCATGTTAATCCCGCCAGCTATACAGGCTATATATGCCAACTCTTCCAGATTGTCCGGGAGTCTCCCGGATACAACATCTGTCGTGTATAACCATCTTTGGTATGCCCATATTTGGGCATGACCATGTGCTTAATATCAGTTGTTGTAGAAGCTGCCATCTTCATTATGTATTAAATTAGTTGTGTTCATCAAAACGTGTGTTAAATTGCCTCCCGACACTACATATTAGCAACAAGGATGGCAGTCACCTTGAGTGTGTTGCTTTCTTTAATTGTGTTGGTGAGCTAGCCACACTGAAGCAAAGAAGAAGGTCAGTACCCACCTGTACACTCTGCCAGCTGAAAAATGAGCGCCGTGGAAAGAAGATATTCCCACTTTGAGTGAGACGCATTAGCGGTTTAAGTGGGGTTTTACCTGTACCTTTACACTGTATGGGATACACTTTGAGATCTGCAGTGATCACAAGCTGCTTGTCACTGTTCTTAGTCCACAGTCAAGGCCCATATTTTGGCATGACCATGTGCTCAATATCACTTGTTGTAGAAGCTGCCACCTTGATTATGTGTTCATCAAAACATGTGTTAAATTGCCTCCGACACTACATTTTGGTGACAAGGTTGGGATAGATTTTGAGATCTGCACTGATCACAAGCTGCTTGTCACTATTTTTGGTCCACAGTCAAGGCCACCCTCGTCTAGAATAGAGAGCTGGTTGTTAAATGTACATGCGGCAATTCAAGTATGCCATTAGGCACATCCATGGCAAAGAAAATGCTACTGATGCACTGAGCAGACTGCCAGTAGGTGAAGTAGCTAAAGAGTTTGTCAGGCAGACAGAAGAATACACCTTCACCGTAGTTACTGATGCTATACCTGCTAGTTTATTACCCCCGCCAAGTCAAGAGAGAGTCTGAATTGGACCCAACCTTGCAATTTATTATTAGTTTATGAAGCCGTAACTACTGGTGATTGGTCCCCACTGCAAGGAACCAACTATAAAGCTGTTGAAGATGAACTATGGGTGATGGGACAGCTCATTATGCGAGGAAACTGAATTGTCATGCCAGAGAAACTGTGTAGTCAAACCATTATGCTGGCCCATGAGGAGCATAAAGGTGTAGTGTGGATGAAGTCTTGACTGAGGGAGAAGGTATGGTGGCCAAAGGTAGACAAGCAAGTAGAGAAGCTGATTCGTAGCTGCTATCGGGCCTAGACCTACACCAGAACCAATAAGATCAAGACCATCGCCTCACAGTCCCTGGTGTGAGATTACAGTGATTTACTTGAAGTTCTGAGGAAGGGACACCTACTTGTTGTAGTTGATTATTACTTCAAATGGAGTGAGGTAGCTTTCCTCAGCATGGAGAGCAAGTTCTGTACTCATGGCCTATCAGAAACCCTCTGAAGCAACAATGGACCACCATTTGCTTCACAAGAGTTTGAAGGATTCCATGAGTACCTAGCTATTGACCTCAAGAAAGGCATCCCTTATTGGCCTCAAAGTGATGGTGAAGTAGAAAGGACACTCTTAAAGGCCATCAGAATAGCAGAGTTGGAAGGAAAAGATTGGAAACAAGAGTTGCAGGACCAATACTGTAACACTCCTCACACAGAAACCACACTCTGTCCAGCTGAGTTGCTTACGGAAAGGAAGCTTCGATAAGCTCCTTTGAGTGAGACCCCCCTTACTGATCATGCATACAAAGCCAGGTGCAAGTACTACTGCAGGAAAGATACGTGCGCAGAAAGCTAAGAGAGAAAGAATATGCAGATAAAAAGAGGCATACATTTACAAGTGACATAAGAGAGGAAGACATGGTCCTGTTACGTCAAAACTGAGAAAACAAGCTGTCATCGACGTTTGCGCCAGAGCCATACAAAGTGGTTGAGAAAAATGACAATGCAGTGATCATCAAATATGCAACTGGCCAAAGCAAAATGCGGAACATTGGTCATAATATGAAGAAGTTTATGGAACCAAGTGGCAGTGGGACAAAGAGGAAAATGAAGCATTTGAGGCGTCAATAATGGCCTTCTATGACAAGCACCCTCCAACTGAGGTAGTCACTGATGCGAGCCCAATCAGACTTGGGGCAATTCTAGCCAGGAGCAGCAGGGAGTAAAGAGATCAGTTGCATTTGCGAGCTGTAGCTTAAGTGAGGTTGAGCGTTGGTATAGCCAGGTGGAAAAAGGGGGACTGGCAGTGGTCTGGGGTTGTGAGAGATTCAATCTTTATCTATCAGGGCTAGAGTCGTTTCAGCTGGTTACTGACTGTAAAGCTTTAGAGGCTACTTATGGACCAAAGTCCAAACAATCAGCCAGGGTGCAGAGATGGGTGTTGTGTCTCATGCCTTTCAAATACAGTGCTGGCCAGAACTAAGGAAACAACACAGACACGAAACTGACACAATGGACGCGTCAGCTCAGACAAGAGTACGCGTCAGCGCTGACGAGCATCTGCATCAGCTCGGACGCGTCAGGAAGGAAAAGATTTTTCTTTTGTTATTCACTGTAACAACTTTACTTTGTGGTGCATTATTGCGAAAAACAAAGCAAATTCTTGGGTTTGAAGAAGCTTGATAGTCGCTCATTCTAAGGAACTATTCATGAGGGACTTTAACCAAGATTAATTTATCTATAAAATTTAGTGTTGTGCAGGGTTTCATTTTTTAAAATTGCTTGGCATCCTACTTTTTTATTTCTAAATGCAAGTCTTGGCTCATACCCTGAAGAAAAAAACAAGCTGCTCTTTGAAGAGCTGAAATTTTCAACAGTGACAAAATGCGTGGGTATGAAGAGAAATAAATTTGCATTTATGAGAGAGCCAATAGTTCACACACCTGGCACGTTTAGTGAGTAAATAATTAATAGCACTCATAGTTAAGCGGTAATCTGAATTAACTTTACAGCAAGCTTTCATACAACTGAGGCAAAGCTCCAACGTACTCTTAAAATCTCACATTGATCTAAAATCTTGACTCAAGTCCGTTGAAAAACGGCGACATTTGTACCAGAATACATGCAAGGATATGCCAAAGTAAATGTTTTGAAATGATCTTATCGAAACAGCGGCAAAAAAAAATCAAACGAAGGGAATAAACCATTCTTTGAGAAGCTCATTCTTGCATTCTCATCACCAAACTTCGGGCAGACAAAGTCTACATATTGCGCACTGGTTGGAAAGTGCAAAACATGCAGACTTGACTACTTTGTTAAATATTAGAGTAAACTTTCAGTCACGTGCTAGGCAACAGAGAGTTTCCCAAGGATCAAGTTTCACTGATGTCTGTCTGACAATTGAACCACGACAAAAGTCTCGCGTATGACAGGGAATGACGGTGATTATTACCAGAAAAGAATTTCCCATTACACGCTTGCCACCGAGACTAATAGAGTAATGATGTAGATGGCATTGTGAAGGAAAATGTTACTAAAGCGCCAGAAATTTCGATTCAGACAAAAGAAAATTCAAACACTCCTTTCCATTCCTAAAGTCTCGCCACCTACAATGTCATTGATGCGAATTTGGTCATCAGAAGGAAAATTTCACTACATTTTAATAGTACATGTAGTAGTGTTTTTTTAGCATGTGCTGCACCAATCCACAAGTTTTAAGCTCGTTGAACATTCACCGACACATAAAACCTACATACTAAAGAGTCTTAATGTGCACTGATGCATTTCAGAGCAAACGCATCTGCTCGTCAGCTCAGACGCATGGATGCGTCTGGCCTGACGCAATTGACTCGTCTTTCCCGAAGAGTATATTTTGGTTCGCTAAGTTGTGGCCTGCGCTGTACACCATGTGACACGTACCATCAGGTCAGAATATTGCTGACTGCCTGAGTTCTGTTTCAAACATCGTGCTACTGCCGTGCTAAGCTGGCTTGACTGTAGCTCGACTGCAGTACGACACTAGCATGACTTGATTTCAGACGTCGAATTTAATTCAGTCGAATAGAACAAAATACAATAATAAAGAAACGGTTCAGCAAACTTTTAAATGCATTCTAATGCATTTGTAATTTATGAATTGAGTTCGGCAAGGCAGTAGCACGATGCTTGAAACCAAGTCGAGCTACTGCTGTGTAGCACGGCAGTAGTACAACTTTATTTCAAATGTCACGCTACTGCCGTGCTTAAGTTGAATTTAATTCGATCAATTGAGTTCGGCATGGCAGTAGCATGACATTTGAAACAGGCCTAAGTCAGTTGATAAAGATACCTGCTTTATCACACTGTAACAGCACCGCTGAGGAGTATGTGAGCATGCATATATAATCAGTGCAACTTCGCAAACTATGACAACCAGGGAGACAATGCTTGAACTTAATAGTTGTCCACTTGCCCAAAACAAGTAAAACATTCTGAAAACGAGTAGTTTCCTTCCTCACTAGTCCTCTGGATGAAAAGTTATCACTCTCTGAGAAATACGTGTGATTTTTTTTTTGCAGTGTACCAAAAAGTAAAAGAAAGAATTGCCAAAAAGAATTGCCAAAGGCAAATCTTGCCAAATAAAGTGCACTGTCGCATACAAGATGGCAGGTTTTGTAATTTCGTTTCAAAGGTCATTATGTATTTTTCTTTGGTGAATTAAAACGTGAGCCAAAGTATGTCGAAACGGAAACAAGTGCGAGGCTCACTGTACTCTTTCTTTTGAGGAAAGCAATATCAGATGATAAAGAAATTAACACATCACCTGAAACACCCGCTCCGACCAAAAAACCAGTTCTAGAAGGCATGGAAGGATAAATACAAATGGCTGAGGTTTGACAAAAAGGAAAACAAAATGTTCCCTTTTGTAGAGAATTCCGGAATACGAAAAACATGCAATACTCCCTGAGGATTGGAACGAAAAAAATTGAAAATGATAAGAGTAATCAGAAGATTTGCTGATCGAACAGTAAATTTTAATCCTACTGGTCCTGCAGAAGATTAGACCCAAAAGTTAATCTCGAGCCCTGGGAGATAAATCAAGGGACATCAACGGATTGTGAAAACAAAAGATCACCTCCAAAGCAAAGTGTGGTGGCCAAAGATGGAAGCTATGGTGGAGAGACATAGTAAGAAATAACATGGATGCCAGGCAGTGACCCCTGCTAACATCATGTGAAGACAACAACAACGCCAACCATGCCTTGGAGGGACCTTACAGTAGATTTGATGGGTCCACAGCCAACATGAGAGAGCTTACTTGTCACTGTTGATTATTATGGCAGATGGATTGAGGTGGATGTTGTTCAAAGCACAACTACAGTAGCTCATAAAGTGTCCAGAGAAGCACTTCACCCGCCATGGGATTCCAGAGATATTACGGACAGACAATGGGTCAAATCTGGTAAGCCATGAGATGGAGGGATTTTTGGATGAGCTGGGGATCAAGCATAAGAGGACTATTCCTTTGTTACCTAGAGCAAATGGAGAGGTGGAGCGACACAGCTTGGGGATTCTGTTGCTTATCATGCTTTTACCATATTTAAATCTTCATAAAGTCACATAATAATTTCACTGAAAACTTAATTTGTCATAAATAGCGACATTTTCGCTGGCATTTGAGTTGTTAACTTTGACCTTAGTCAAGTTTCAAACTTGTTAGTGTAAATGCAGCTTAGAACCATTTCATATATGTAACCTTTCATTCACCATGTTCATTCAAAAACACGGCTCAGTAACTCCATGAATTGCTTTTACGCAAATCTAGCTGATGTCACCGGAAACTTTGCTTGCTGAAGTGACATTTGAACACACGATCATGTCAGTATTAAAATTTCAAACTCATTTCGTTCAAATGATAGAAAGTGACAAGGAATGCACAAGCACTCTGCAGAAATAAAAAAAATAGTTGTTACATGATTCGGAGTTTGACAGACAGACAGGCCTCATAGTATCGATTGTGAGATAGATAAGATCTAGTTTTCGGATCGAAGTGTGTGAATCTGTGATCTTGTTTTGGAACAATTATTTATAAAACAAGATTTATGGTTGAAAAATTTGGTTTGAGTATGATTATCTACAGAAACTATGAAAGCTCGACTGACCGAACACAAACGCACGACAAGGAATGGTGACGTCAACAATCACATTGCTGAGCACCATTTACGGACGAAACATCAAATTGACTAGGACTCGGCCACATGTATAACGTATTCTACAGACTACTATCAACGTCTTACTTTAGAAAGCTGGTTTACTAACTTAGAACAAATGCCACTGAATCATAGCCAACAGTTACCAGCGCCGTACAAACGACTTACTGATGAGATCGATCAACCAAGACTAACTATGAGAGAACGACTGGAGAACTGACAATTTGACCAACAATAGACGACTGTTTAACTGTGACAATAGACAGATCGAAACGCACCAATTGCTGATTACGAGTCTTCATTGCCAATAACATCATGGCTTAACTGACACATGACCAATAACATCACGACGTAATTGACCAATCAGATCAATAACCAGAGTATAATACCATCAACTGACGTGCTACAACTCACTTTGACTCTGAAGATGACTACCGCACAGGTTGTCGAAACTTCAGTCACTGTCAACAACAACAGTCCTATTCAGGACTACGTTCACACAGACGATCAAACTCAACCTACTTTTGAAATTATCTACAGAGTCGTTTAGTTATTGTTCACTTGCAAACAGAGGCTCTTTTTTACTGCTAGTCTGGTGTTCGAACAATGGAAAGTCAAAAAGAATTACGACTGTCAGGGTGCAACAGGAGACAAGAAGCGAACATGTGACCTCTCACAAGAAAACATTCCTGACGGTTTGCCGTTTTGGCATGGATAGCTGTGTTTATGCCGTGCATAAGCCATTCGAATGGCTCGGGCTATCTGTGCGAAAAAATTTGCATCCGTTCGCACGGCTCAGGCTATCTGTGCAAAAAAAATTTGCATCTATTCGAACAGCTTGGGGTATCTGTGCGAAAAACATTGTCATCCGTTCGAAAAAAATTGACATCTGTTCAAACGGCTCGAGCTATCCATTCAAAACAATCATTATTATTAGCCGCAGATTTCACTTGAGCTGTTCGCGACTTGGTCGCTCAGGCAGGAGTCATGCGACAAACCTGTCAAAAAATGTGAATGATTTGATGCAAGCGTTGCGTTCACCATCCTAATGAATTGTCACGATACATGTTCTGAAGAATAATGATCTTGGCTTTTACAACATCCGTTTATCGTTACACGTTTTATTCAAGACTAAGTTTAAATAACAAGTTCGAACAAGTCATGGTTTGACCTTTTCGTATCCAAATATCAAACGCTTTTGGTGGTTGGTATCTCCCGTAAGAATGCACTCTCGGTGTCAATTAACTGTGCCTGTTCATCTGCTCATTGAAGATGCAAACACAAACTCGTGTGAATTAAGTTGGAAAGCAAATACTCTCCATTTGCCCAATTAAAACTGTTGAATTTTGATCTGCTCTGTTTTATAAAACTATGTTAATTGATGAATGATAGAAGCCAATTCATTTCAGTATTGCTATTGCTTACGGTATATTAGTCACTATCTTGTCATTATTTACAAGTAATCATGACCATCAGATTGTTGCGCAAACAGACTAGCAAGCATCCATCGAATGCATTGTTTCCCCAAGAGCAAAACACCAGAATCGCACCGACACGAATAATCAACGAAACAGAACTAGATTTAACTGCAGGAATGGTGGTGACTGTCAATTGGGACAGAGAGAAAGTTGAAGCGGAGATACGTTTGGTGTATGGAACTTTCATCACAAAAACAACGTTTACTTTGCTGTTTTCACAGTATCATTTACACAGAGTCATTATTGTTTGTCATTTACATGTCAGTTATGCAGTGTTACACATTGTAGAAATGGTTGCATGAGAAAATGTGGTTGTTTTTTTTTTAAACTGCAGGAGTCACGCACAGACATTATGATTTATGTTTCTCAGTGGCGAGAAGAAATTTGCTTTATTCTTGAAACTATGAATTTCAACGCAGTATCAGATTAGAAAATGATCGAGTCGTTCATTCTTATAAAGCTGCAAAGGCGCTTGTTCCAGAATGCGGATTAAGATAATAATAATAATCGTTTATTCAACCTTTTTGCAGCATAAACTGAATTACAAGGTGGGTCATAAAATAATTACATACAAATACCTTGGAATTATGACACGTAAATATAACTGTTAATGTTAAGACATATCACATTTTGCTATTTTAAACGTGATTCTGGTATTTGATGGTGCAAAAATTTCCAAATCTGTTAGTTCTTGAGGAAGCAGGCACAGAAACAGATTCTCCTGTTCTAAGAGCATAGGGTCTTGTGTGCGCAACTCGCGGCACTAAGCTTTGTAGCAGGTCAGAAGAAGAGTAACTTCGCTTGAGAAATGTTATGCACGCATCCTACCTCCTCTGGCACAGCAAAATTAAGCCTGATTTCTTAAGCGCGTCCTCATAGCACAGAGAAGGAAAAATAATTTTTAGCGCCCTCTTTTGTATTGATTCAATTTGATCACTTAAGTATTGCGTGAGGCCAGCCCAAGCGGGACTCGCATACTCTAAAACAGACCTGATGATACTACAATAGACAAGAATAAGCTGCCTATCAGTTAGTCTGCACTTCTTAAGGCGGCGTATTGCATATAACCGCTTACTCCCTTTCTCAGGGCTTCTGATATTTCGCGCGGTCGCAGATCCGCGAAATCCCGCGAAATTCCCCAAAAAGCGCGAAATACCGCGAAATCCGCCAGAAATATTTCCAAATACATGTCAGCAAAACATATTTAATACTTATCTTGGCTATTAGATCGGTTTTATTCACCCCAAACGTCCAAATTTAGCTTGAAACTTCGTCACTGCAACGAGTAAACAACGTCCCAAAACTACCAGGCGTTTTTAGATCAACGTTGCAAAAAACTGGGCACTAACCATAATGTTAATAGCTTTAACATTCGCTCATTTCTTGAGCGAACTGTTGTTGAAAGAGCAAATGATTATCCCCGTTAAAAAAAAACGTTCACCAACGTTGGTCATATCGATGCAAAATTGATCGATTTTAGCGAAATTAGCCAAAAAAAAAACCAGCGAAATCGGCTGTTTTTTACTGATTGTTTCTTGGCGAAGTTTCCCCCCGAAATTTCCCCTGAAATCGGCCGATTTTCCTAAGAATCCTTCAAAAATTGACTTTATTCCGCTAAAATCCCGCGAAATGGGCTGATTTTTCTGTTAATTTTGACTTTTCTCCCGCGAAAATCGCCCGAAATTGGCCGATTGTTCCGCGAATTTTGACTTTTTTCCCGCGAAATCAGCCGATTTTTCCACGAATTTGCCCCTGAAAATCCCGCGAAATTTTGCTTTTTTTTCCACGAAATATCAGAAGCCCTGCTTTCTTTACAATATGAGTGACATGCTCATTCCATGTTAAGCTATCGGACAAGTGAACCCCTAACAGCTTGTAACAGGAAACCTTTTCTATCAGAGAGCTACCAACCAGTAGAGGACCTGGGGGAAACGGGCAATACTGCAAACAACTAACGCACATTTCCTTGCATTTTTTACCATTAAGAACCATTCCCCTAGAGGAAGCAAACGAGTAAATATCCGAAACAGTAAAATTCAAATATGAAGGAGAGAGCCTGGGAACAAATTCCATGACTGTGGCATCATCTACATATTTAACTCTATTTGTACAGTTAGAGACCATTCTGTTCACAAAATACAAAACAGAAGAGGAGCCAGTTTAGTTCCTTGAGGAGTTCCGCCATTCAGCCATATGGGTGGGGACAGAGCCTCCTCCACCCTCACCCTCTGGTTCCTGTTCGTGAGAAAGGCAGCAATCCACCTCACTAAATGTGAGTCCACATCTAGGTTATCCAGTTCACGCAGCAGCACATTATGGTCAACGAGATCGAATCCTTTTGAGAAGCCAGAGAAAAACATTCTTACATACATCTCACCACCATCAACCGATTCCAAAATTGTGTGAAGTAAATAAACCAAGGCCTGCGGAACAGATCTTCCTGGAAGAGCAAACTGCTTACTGTCCAACTTGTCCCAAACACACATGAGTAGGGACTTAGCTGAGAAACCTTCCAGTACTTTGGCTACGGGTGAAGTTAACAACACTGGTCTTAAATATTATTATAAAAAATTTTCTTCGGTCGTCTGGCCGATCGACCGCATCTGTTCAAAAATAATTATTTTCTTCAGCCGTTCATCCGTTCAAAAATACTTTCTTCAGTAGTTTATCCGTTCGACCTCATCCGTGCATACGTTTGACTTCATCTGTGCAAAAATTTTCTTTATCCGTTCAGCCATTTGGCCATTCCATTTTGAACGGCTTGGTTATCTGATTCTCATCTGCATGCTTGCTGTGCATTCGCTTGCCATGCATTCATTCCTAAGGAATGTTTTCATGTGAGAGGTCACACATTTTTGCTTTCAAAGCATGAGCTTCATTTACATGAAAGCAAACAAGTCTCACCCAATGCACCGAACGGTAATTTTTAGAATGAAAGGTAAGTGTACACTTTTAAAGAGTGCGCTTTCATGAAAAGTTCTCGACTCAAACTTTGAAACTTGATCCTCGATCCTCAATCACCAAGACTCGAGACTCAATCCTCGAAAGTTTTGAGAATCAAGTCTCGAGACGCGAGTGACTGTCAACTTACGTTTGAGCGGTACTGTAAGCTTATCTAGCTATTAATCTATATATCTGTTCAGTGCGAATTTATCTTACTGCAAGAACCTCAGACTCCCCTACGGCTCGTGTGCTACTTTTTTTGTTATTACCACACTTCGACTTCACTTCATCTTTGATCTACTTCTAAACAAACGCATGGCAAGATGGAACCTATTTTTTTAATAAATTAAGGGTGATTAAGAAGGCCAATCAAAGTCCAGAATTCGCGAAAGTGAGTAATTTTCGATGGTTTCCACTCCGATCATGCTGAATGCACGTTGGTATTTCACTGGAATAATGTATCGGTATAATGACTTAAAACTGAAGGAAAGAGATGCACTCTTAAAGGAACCAATCTAAACTCTTCACTTATCGCTCTTCCATACCTTATCGTTGTAGCTTACGGGAAACACAACTGAGTTCAGTTTCTTGAGCTGCTTTATGTTGTGTGGAGTCACATCACCAAGCTCTGTTCTTCCCTTCCTGAAATTCAACAGAAAAAAAAATTGTTCTTACGGGAAGCAAGAGGAAGAAAATCGACGATGAAATTAACTCACGGCTTCAAGGGTTTAGAAATAACAATTTCTTGATCATTTGACATACTTTTCCGGCATAACTCGTGGAATTACTTCCCGCCAGCTATACTGCACATGCTCAGTCGGCTGACCACTCTTGTTTCGGTCAGCGGACAGAGCCGGTACGCATTGACTCTTCATTTACGTATCTCGCAAACCCCTCTATCTGTAAAATGCCTGTTCATCGCAGAGATCCAAACAACCAAAATGTCCGGAAATTTCGGTCCAAAACTCAATGGATCGGTTCAGTCCAACCGGAAAAGTTTCGAAAAACTGGTCCACCTTTTGAGGTGGACCACTTTTCCCGGTCAGACCCGTCGGAATTTTGGTTGAATGGATCGCGCCGATTTGGAGAACACCGCCGAGTCCACCGCCGATCAATCTTAAACCACCATTACTCAGCCACCCCACTCAACTCATTTCAATCAACCTGGACATTCAATCAACGACGTTCGTCTCAATTTCCTCTTGAAACAGGTCCAACAGTGAGGCAGTGAGAGAGCAGGGGCACCCAAAGTCAATTTTCGGAAAATACCTGTTCGGAAGACGATTGGAGATCTAGAATTTTCGGAACATTTATTGTAAAATTCCTTGCTTGCCTGCCTCTCCTAGGATTTTCGAACATCTAAAAAATGGTATATGGTACGGATTTTTACCCTAAAAAGGTGACCTAGAATTTTCGGGAGCCTTTTTTCTGGCTGAAATTTTCGAAAAGGCAAGTTTAGATCCCTATAAGGTCTTATAATTTTCTGATCACTAGACTTTCAGCTAGGGATTCCGAACAGATGAAAATTTTTAGGGGATACAAATATGCCTTTATCTATCGTTTAAATACTAAATACGTTCAACAATGCTATGTTTAAGTGGTTTTGAACTATATTCTCGTTGGGTGCCGGTGCCCCTGAGTGAGAGAGGCTAGGAGGCTCGCTTAATACCCAAAGGGAAAACATCGTCTCCTCTAGGAATAAATAGACGTGAGTAAGGTGACGAATAGCCTGCGTGGCAGGCGTTAAAAGGGAAGGGGAAGGGGGAATTTGGGCACGCGAGGGAGAAAGGAAGGGAACCTTCTCCCTCGTGCGCCCAATTTTCCCATGCCTGCCATGCAGGCTAGGTGACCAAGCTCATTGAAATACGATAATACCACAGGCAACCCAAGCTCAGTATCGGCCGCGACCAAATTCCCATAATGCACCTTATTTGCTCCCCGGAATTTTGCATAATCTTTGTTTCTCATTTCTCCTGGGTATTACAGAAGTCCCAAGAAAAATTGAAAACAATGCTTATGCAGACATATTAAATTCTGCAAGCAGAATACTGCAATGTTGATCGTACTACGTGAAAATTAACTCTGCAAGGGGGCCAAATGTGGTGCATTATGGGAATGTGGCAGTAGCGTATGAGCAGGGGGGGGGGTGCGCGTATGAGCTGTTTAATCATTTATACGTGTTTAAATGAAGATATGATCGTCGCCGTGGTAATTGCAATTTAAACAATTACAAATAAGCCCGAAAAAGTTCCGGACTTCAAAGGAATTGGTGCGAGTTAATTTGCAATTGCTTAAATTTGCATAACCTGGTGCCACCAGCACGGAACTGAAAAGGTATTTTAATAAAGTTAATGTTAAAAGACAGAGCAATTAACCCTTTCAAATAACAAAACCTTCAAAAAGAGACCTCGAAGAAACGTTAAAAAAGCGCCAAATCAACATCTAATTTCTCTCGTTTCTTTTTTTAACTTCCTTGTATTAGTATCCATCTGTATCATCGTACGTTCCAAAATAGGCAGCTGGCCAACCTTAGGCTGCGTGCAAACGGACGCAACATTGTTGACCAACAACTCCCAACATTGTTGGATGTTACATGTTGCGTCCGTTTGCACACCCTGTTGCATGTTGTTGGATGTTGTTGCGTGTTGTTGCGCCAAGTTTGAAACCGGTCAAACTTTTCAGCTAACAACTCCCGACATTTCTTTTGTTCCGTGATCGCCGAAGCGTAACGCAACAATGTTGGATCCGTTTGCACAGCTCTTCCAACATTGTTGGGGTGACGCACGCTCATTAGGCATGGTTTACAAAGACTTATGGGTTGTATCCTTCCCACGATGCACTGCAGGTCCCAATATTGTTGGGAGTTGTTGCATCCGTTTGCACACCACTGCCAACACACACGCAACAACTAACAACATTGTTGGCGCAACAATGTCGGGGGTTGTTGTGTCCGTTTGCACGCACCCTTACTCAAATTGAATTGATGTCCACATAATTATTTCGTTGGTACATGCGTTATAGAATTTTGACCTCACTAGTCTTTGGAACATGGCTGCAGACGCCACAAAAAGAATACTTGCTGATACCTCCGAAAACAGCCGTTTCTTCTTGCTCCTCGCTGCTTGAGAGACTCCCGGCGAAACGTCCCAGTGGCGAGGAGCGAGGAGAAACGGCTGTTTTCGCAGGCTAACCTGCTGGGAATCCCTTTCATCCACGACATAGGCCCCACAAGGGTGCCAGCGATTCCTTTGACGCAAATATAAGGGTCAATGCGCCAAAGCAAAGAGTGGAATCAAGCGAAGTGCGGCCGGGCAGAGTGCGGGTAATTATTAGTACACGGTAGTCCGCGGATCTTATTGTGGCCTGGAATTCCCATCACTCTCTTCCCCCAGCTTTGCCTGAATCTTGGTTCGTCCGAGATTTTGATCGTGGGTTTTCTACCTCGGACAATTTTTTGTTGTTTTCAAAAAGGTTTTAAGGTAAAAAGAACAATTACCAGAAAAGTGTTGTGACCGTAAATACAGTAGAACCTCGGTAACTCGAACTCGGATAACTCGGTATGTCCAGGATTGAACTCTGTTACGAAATTTACAAAAATCAAAATTTTGCAAAAGTGCTACGAAAAATTGCGGAAATAACGAAAATAACAAAATTTTGCAAGGCCACTACGAAAAGTGACCAAGAAACCGAAATGTAAAGTAGGCCAAGGAAGGCCCTCGACGAAACAGCGAAAATTAAGAAAAATTCAAAAAAATACGAAAATAACAAAAATTACGAAATTTTTCGAGGCCATTAACAAAAAGTGACAAGGAAATGGAAACACTAAAGTCGTTGACAGTGAATTTAGACAAGTATTGAAGTAACCAGCCGCCTTAACCGGCTCAATATCACATGATACTATCTCAATTTTTTCTGGAATTTAGTGAGCTTAAAATTGCAACAAACTGTACTATCCAGGGGTACTATCAAACACCTTATACTGACTGAAATCAATGCGGCAATACTACTGAGTATTGAAGGCTATTGTGTTTGCCGCGACAGATATGCCGTTTTTCGAAAATTGCCGCCCAGTCGCAAGCTATATCTCTGCATGAACTCTGCCAGCAGAATTTTCTTTTCAGCGTCATTTTTAAGCGTGTACGAAGTCGTTTGCACCGCCAAAAAAAATTTGCGTGGTTGGCTTGTTTACATCGCACAACAACATCGAACACCAAATGAGTGTTCAAAAAAACTATGCGAACTAGTATCAGGACACAAACGACTTACTAAAAACAGTGCCGGGAATAAATTCCTGTTAGGAAGGTGGCATTATATGACAACCTTACTAAACCTTTACTTTACTTTATGCTAGCTTTACGAAACCTTTAAGAGTCGAGCGCGTAAATTTACCTTTACAAACCTTTACGCGCCGTGGAAAGTTTGCGTAAAGTTGGATGACCAACTTTACGCAGGTTTACGTAAACTTTAATTTTGCGTAAATCTCCATTTTCATGCTGTGCAGGATCTGGAAAGGGTTTCGCGTGATCCGTGAATTCACGGGTAAACAGAGCTTGAATCGGGAAAACTCACGAAATAAAGTCGTGAATTATATACTCACTGCGACGCGTGATCCGTTAACGTTGTAGTTCGTGAATCGAGATTTCTACCGATAAAACCGGATGTAAGTGTCGTGACGAGGGTTCGAAGTTAACCCTTCGGTGACGGACGACAATAGTTTTAGCTTTAAATCGAATTACTGCCCTTATCAGCATTTTGTTTGGAAATGCTTTACGCTACGCATTCTTTGGGTGCTTGTCGTCTGTTATGTGAAGTTTCGCAAAAATCTATTAGAGGAATTTCGAGACATCTTTGAATTTCCACAAAAAGGTACAGTCGAACCTCTCGGTACGGACACCTCTCTAACACAACGGCCCGGGCACAACGGTTGCCCTGAAATCTTTCCGAAATATGATAATGCTGTAGAAAGGGATCGGAGAAAACAACAGAGAATAGATAACGCAGGGCAACCAAGCGCGGTAAATTCTCGCGTGCTGTATGGGAATTTGATCAATCAATCAATCAATCAATAAACTTTATTTACCCTCGAATTTACAGTGTAGCACTCAAGTGCTAATATCTTCGAGCCAACTACATTAATAAATAATTATAATAAAAAGTTAATTCTATATAACAAATAAGATAACTAACTACCTAGACAACTAACTTGCAAATTATCATGATGTAGAAAGGTTTGCAGTTCCTGCCCTTTTAAGTAAATTATTGTTCCCAGTAGATATCAGTCGTCGAAAAGAAGTAAAATCAGAAATAGTGCGGTAATGGTCAGGAAGAGAATTCCAAGATGTTGCTGCCAAGTAACTAAAGGAATTGATACCATAAGAAGTGGTCAATGGTTTGGGCAAACAGAGCATATTATGTCCTCGGTGTACTTCGTATGACACCTATTTACAAGATGGCGGCGATTTGCAGCAATGGACATCAGAAACATACACACTGGTCTCGTTTGCTCGGTTTCTGAATCCGATAATACATTAAGATCATTATATTCTCTTCCAAGAAGGCCAGGACCAAGTAGAAAACAGCGAAACAATTGTAAGAGTAGAAATAAGACCGTTTCAACAGAGCCGTGATATGCACGTGTTTGCGCCATACCGTCCAAAAGAGTCTCGCGACAATGAAATCCCAACTTAGCCAGATCTATGACAGTGCTTCAATATTTCCTCGATTTTGCACCTACGTTAGACAACTTAAAAAGTTTTCAATGGACACGAAATTCGGGAATTTTATAGTACACTGATCAACCGCAACACTGAAATTTTTAACAGAAAATCTGTCGACGAATTTTGGTTTAATCGCCGTTTTCGTAAAAGTAGCCTTAGAATTATAGAAAGTACAAAAAAGGCTCAGCATTGCGTTTTACTGATTAACATGTTTTCATGTTTTTTTTCGAAATCGCGTTTAGCCGGTTGTAGAGTGTATAAAGGTCATTTGCAAAACGAATGAGTAATAAAAACTTGTCGGAAGCATCCAAAAAGTAGCAAATTTGTCTGCATTAAGTCCAGCCATCAGTTCAGTGCATAATTATACCTTTTTGTAGAAATTCAAAGATATCTAGAAATTTCTGTTATAGATTTTTGTGAAACTTTGCAAACCAGAAGACAAGCACCCAAAGTATACCTAACATGAAGCATTTCCTAAGAAAATGATGTTAAGGGCAGTAATTCTATTTATAGCTAAAACTATTGTCACGTCATTGTCACGTGATATTTATTCCGATTGCCTCAAAAATAATATCATAATAAAGTTTAGTCTATGCGGTCTATGTGCAGAAAATACACAAATACACATGCTATAATGTTCTTACAGTAAAGATCAATTTGTTTAAGTCTAAGAGATTCAAAGATGGAAGGTGTACTTACAAAAATACTGGGTCGAGCCACCTTAACGTATTACGAAAACGAATTTTTTTTCTGATTCCTCTCTCCACCACATTTTGGAATCCAAAAATTTTAGGTTTCCTCTTTGTCTACGAAAAATAGCCTGCTTTGGGAAGTGAAATGTGAAAAATTTAACCTCAGAAAATCATAGTGAATTCATCAGATAAGCTTCGAAGATTGTACATGAATGGAATGGTCATGATAATCTAGACATTTTTAGCCGTCCTCGGGTAATAGGAAGTTCTAGGCAATATTATTTGCTTAATTCTCCGAACAAATAGTTTACAGATAAGAATCGTTGGGTGCCCCTGTGCGATCAGTTCAAGTTAAAACGTCTTTACACAGACTACCGTTTGCTCTCAATAAAATAGAAGTGAAGTGTTTAAATGGTGATGATTGGTCATAATTTGTTTTAAGGAATAGTCTTCCCTAAACTAAATGCTTAATTCAATTTAAAAAAAACATGCTGGAAGGTTTTTCGTCCAACGACATAGAATGTGAAACAAAAGCCGCGATTATCTCTGAGTTCTTTTTTTTAAAACTGGAAGTGGTCCCTTGGACGCGCGTGCATTTCAGTAGCATTTCAGTAAGAATACAGGGTGTGCGAGGAGCATGCGTTAAAATGGGAGAGGACCGGAGAGGACATATTTCGCTGATAAGTTTGCTTTACTGAATTTTATCGGAGAAACGTTTTCATGAATGTGAAGGGTCCTGTAAATTCTCAATTCTACGAGCAAGAGTCTTCTTGAAGAGCCACTATCCACAAAGCATGACCCATCATCACGCACGACCCACCCACCCACACCAATTGGTCAATTTCAACGAAAATAGAGCCAATTGCACTCCGCTTGCGATCCTCGAGTGAACCGCGCGCGCTGCGCCCGACAAAATTATGACTCGCTCCGCGAGAATAAACTAGTATGGTTGTGAAGTAACAATCTCTCTTTTTTGATCCACGTGATTTTTTTAATCAAACAACGTGTTGATCGAAAATAAATTTACCCCAAAGAAATTTATGGAAACTTTGTCCACGTTTCAACTACCCTTCGTTGTCTTTTTTTAAGATAGCGTTCATCACCTCCTGGTTCAAATTAAGTCAATATCACTTAAAAAACGACAGCAAAGGGTTGTCAAAACGTCGACTACGTTTCAATTTGTTTCTTTGTGGTAAATTTAGCCTGAGAGCTGCTCACTGACTCGTGCGAGTTTGGGGAACATTTTGGCGGCGGTGGACTGCCCGCGGGGGTAGAAAAGTCAGGGGCGGCTACCCCGAACTAGCGCAAGTGAGCCTGTTCTCCGGCTATGGTAAATTCACTTTCAATTTTAAATCCAGAAACTAAAAACCTTCATACACAAATGTATTTCTTGTCTCGTAGCCCCCAACCTACTAATAATAACTAAGCGTCTTGGAATAAAAGGGGTAACAGGGGCGATAGAGGTGAAAGGAGTAGCAGGAAGAACAGAAAAGAAAACGGGTGACAGGGTTTAGCACGGGAATGAAACGGCTGACAGGGTATAGCAGGGGGTAACGGGCGGTAGAGGTCACAGGAGTGACGAAAAGGACAGGAATGAAACGGCTAACAGGGTACAGCGGGGGGTAACAGGGGCGATAGAGGCGAAAGGAGTGACAGGAAGAACAGAAAGGAAAAGGGCTGACAGGGTTTAGCAAGGAGGTAGCAGGGGCGATAGAGGTCAAAGGAGTGACGAGAAGGACAGGAATGAAACGAGAACGACAGGCAATCTAAAGCTGGAACAATTGTGCGTCGTCCTGTGAGTACCAACCTAAAGAGTTTGTTCGGTGACCAAAATAAGGTGCGTCGCATTGTGAAATAAAGGTCAATTCCAGCAGGACGATTGCCAAAACGACCTTAGGGATCAGCTCCAGCAAAGACGATTTTAAGCGACGCAAGTCAAACGTGAAGTTTTTCGCGGAAGTGATTTTTTAGAGGTGTAAATTTATACACGTGTAGTAATTTTCCCAATAATTGTATTTTGCATAGTGGGATAATTTGGTTCACAAAAAAAAATCTCTCTTGACAGAACTTTTGTAAAAGTTTGGTAAAACGTCCTTGAATAAAAACCACTGTCATTACCTATGCAAGAATGTGTAAATGAATCTGATGACGTCTAACCGAGTCAACTTCACGCTAATAACGCGCTCATCAGTACAGCCCTGAGTAGTGGCCTGTCAATTATAACACCTGCTATGCAGGCTGAACAGATCACAATAGGTTATTGACATCTCCGCAATAATTGATCTTGGAAATGAGTTTTCTGTACGAATAACGCAGAGGCAAAACTCTGAGGCACTTTATTAACAACAGATTATAAATCACTAATTGATATAATAACTCTGATAGCTGACAGACTAGGACAATGTCCACACACACGCTTCACGGTAATAACGCAGTTCTTGCCATCGTTCCGCGTATCTTAAGCGTTCCACTTTGCTTTGTCTGGTTTGTTTCTACACACGATCAGTTTTATCTCCAGAGTCGACAGGTGTTATCTTTGCTACCTATTGGAAAATAGAACGGGATAACACATGAGAAAAAAACTTCACCAGACTCACTATTCAGTCACCTACACTGTACTATGATCAGTATCCGAAAATATGATCAGAGTTAAACTTTCATTTTTCCAGAAAACAGCAGATAAGTTCTTAGAGCGAGTATAAAAGAACAGACTGCGGTGAATCACTAAAAGACATGAAAATAGAAAGGCCTTTAGAAAATTAAATGAGATCAACTTGTGTGTGAAACACAACAGATCTGCACACGGTAAAATTTTCGTAGCTCAGCGTCGCTGGACTATATACAGCTATTTCGAGAAAGGTTGTCGGAAAAAGTGTACGCGACAAACCCGAAAGGTATTGTGGGTGGTTTTGAGCTCACTGTTTTCAGTTTGTGTTTTTCAAAGAAATTTGAAAGAATGGCAGGAGAGGCCGTCAGCTGAGGCCGTGGACATACGTCTGCGAGTGCTAAAGGAAAGCAGCAAAAGTAGGTTCGACAGCTACAGTGTCAGGAACAGTGTATTGATCATATCCCATATTACTTTTCGGGATTGTCGCGTGCACATGCTTTCCGACAACCTTTCTCGAAATAGCTGTATATTTAAATGCGACAATACGAAGCTCGCGCTGAAATGATGTTAATTTTCACACGATCGACTCGATTTGTGTGATAATTAGAGGGCAAAACACAACAAACACACCAGCCACTTTGAAAAACAGCAATAGCGTTAAGTTTTTTATCTACGCTTTGTTGGCTTGGATTTCTTACGACAGACAGACGTAATTCGATGGATATTTACTTTGGTCTGGAGCGCGCTTAGAAGCCTGAGCTGTTTTGCACTTCGCTTTCACTCCTAAAGCCCGGCACCTACTGAGCACCCTCAATAATCAATAACGCCTGTTGGGGCTATGCAGGTTATGAACAGGGTTCCGCGAGTTATAGTCCGAGTGGAGTGAATAAGAAAACACATGCAATGATGCAGAAAAACCGGATAACTGTTACCTGTGATTACTATATTTCCTTCATAATTAAATGCACAGCTAAAGATTTCATCTGTGTGACCTTCAAGTACCTATCAGATGAAAAGAAAATGCATCAAGGCAAGTGCATTTTTCAAACGTGTTTGACGAAATCAAAACTTAGTGATCGAAGTATAGACTACCATCAATACAGTGACGGTTCAGTTATTCGTGCGTCACGACTTGCACTTTCATGTTGATATCTATACAATGTACTGTACAAGTTCTAAACTTATACAAAGTTTTTAAAGAGCAACCCAAGAAAATGACCGTGAAACAAGATTGGATGAAGGATATACATTTAACGAGCCAATGAAATTTCGTAATTTACACAGTTTACAGTCCGAAACAAACATTTGCCTCTTCTTTATACCTGAACACACTTTCCAGAAAATGGGTCCCAAAGTCTTGCTGTCTTGTCACTACTGGCTGTAAGGCATCTGGTACCCTGAGGACTAAATGTTATCTAAGAAAAGGATGAAAAGTTCAAGTGGGTTTGAAGATCACTTACTGTCATTAGAACACCACAGGCATTAGATGCTAGATAAAATCACGGCTGACAGCTGATAAAAACAAGTCACAGGCGAGCGTTCTGATAGTGGAGAGTGGCGCCGCCAAATGAACAGCGGCCCTCCATGCCCACTAACTGAACGCTGGTCTGAGACACGCTATAGAACTCAACTGTTGCTTTCCTATTTACTTCTAAAAAGAAAAACTTCCAAACAATAAAAAAACAAAATGTTAACGAAACTGACGTTATAATTACAACTTACCTTAGAAATTTCTCCTTCGTGACCTTCCAATTTTGAAACACAGTGATGTGTAAGTGCATTATACACTCTCCCTGTACCTTGAGAAACAAGTAAAGACCACATATTTAATTTATTTTAGTCTTGTTTTTTCAAGGTTTATAACCAACTTACCCCAAAGAGTAAATATTATCGAGTAGTTACTCATCTCGACGGGCTTCCTCTATATTAAACTGTAAACGTCCTTGTAGTAATAATAAAAGCATGTGTGTACGATCAGCAAAGCTCAGTATTTGTTAATTTGTTATTATATATCTGGTCATTCTGGAAGTACACGCCCATTATCACAGTAAGTACAGGGCTTACAGAATAACTGAACCACAAACTCACTCATGTTTAAAGACACAAGTTTATGTTTAATCACACAAGCCCAAGATGACGCGGAAGAGCCCAAAACATTTGCTACTAAGTTTTTTTAATTTTTTATACAATTTTCTATATGGAGGTAAAAAGATTACAAAGGCACAAGCGTTTTGACAAATTGGTACGAACGCCATGGTTACACTCGAATTCAGCGTTCAGGTTATATTAATGGCAAGAATCCTTGTTACCTCTGCAAAGAATATTTCTTTCATTCATATTTTTTTTCGCAAGGCACATTTCAAAGTCGGGGGTGGAGCTTATCTTACAGTGCATTACATTGAGCATATTCGGGATAAAAAGAGTTTAATTTTCTATTAAATCTCTTTTCCCGAAATTTTACGACCACTGGAATGCTTCAGATTTCTTCATACTGTATTTCAACAATTTGCAGACGTTACGATGCAATGAATGCCTTAGCAAGTGATTTCTAGAGTTTATTCCTCTTGTTCTTATTCCGGAATACGGTATAACAAATGCCGCGGCCCTAGAGTGAGCTAGGCAGGTAGTGCTTCTACTTCTTACCATCTGCTGATGCTGTAGCAACATATTGACCAGTAAAATCAAAACATACATCTAACACTTCATCATCATGACCTCTGCAAAAAACGGAAATCCTCAATTACACCTAAGTACGTATTGTGAACATAGCTACTTCAGCTATAAAAATATTAAGTAATGATGTTCATTCAGGAGCCACTAAGAAATTAATATCAACATTTTTTCAGTTTCAAAGAATTTCGATGTAAACGTTTTTCATAATTATTTTTGAAAAATTCTTTACCTGTACCTGCGTACCAACTGCGAACAATTAGTGGAGATAAAATTTATTCCTGCTCAATGTTGCAGTCACCAGGCACATTGAACTATGGAGAACTTTTTGTCATAACTTTTTCGGTTTTTACTCAATGGCATTACATGTATTGTGTCAAAATGTTGGGTTGTTACCTACAAGACCTCTTTGAACCTTCTAAGAATTGTTAACGGAATTCATTAAGACACTACATCTGCACGCGTGATACCTTAATGTACCGATGTACTATCCTGTCCTGGAAGAACTTTTTGTCATAACTTTTTCGGTTTTTTCTCAATGGCCGACGAAACTTTGAGAATAACTACAGTCATCATTAGGTAATAATATGAACAACACTCGCAGAAAGGCGACTTCAAAGGACTGCCATAAAGACCAAGACCAGACTGGGGTCATTGACTCTTTTGCATTTCATGCCTATTTACATGCGTGTTGGTCATGTTTTTGAATAGTGTTTTTAGGGGGGAAAGATTTAACCAATGTCTACGATTTTTGGCATCTTTAATAAAGAATGATTGAATTTTAAGAAAATGTTATTGATTTTCTTGTAGGTACAAAAGAGTTTTAGATATCGGTCTCTATTGAAAACCTCGTTTTTACAAAAATGCAAATAACTCCGAAATCCCACGGCAGATTCCCCCCTACAACAAAAATAAAAATAGCCCCAGAGCTCCCTAGTTTCATATCTTCAAGTTTGGGGGCAATCGTGACCGTAGAACTGGCTCCACAAAATGTTGGTCGCATTTAATGTTCAAAATGATAGGCTAGAAGAGAGAGAAGGCTAGGCTAGAAGAGAGCCAAAGCATCGTTCGAAGAAAATGAGCAATCAGACAACTAGCGGCGAACACAGTTACCGCTTTAATACAATCAACTTTCCGCGCGCCTGGAAAAGAAGTTTGCTCATGCAGCCTCGTCTCCAATGAACTATACCATCGATCAACCTCGTTTCAAATGAAATATACCCTCGAGTCGATGGTATATTGCTCGCATCTTCCAGATTTGGTCAGCGCCGGTTGGTTATGAAGAATTAGCCAAAACATTTTGATTTTTTCGTCCCTTCTTACTCTTTCTCTTACCTTTTTAGCATGGGTGCCTTATGTTATTTTGCTTGTGTTAATTGCACAAGCGCATTATATGTATTGTGTAAAAATTTTAAGTTGTTACCTACAAGAACTCTTTGAACCTTCTAAGAATTGTTAACAGAATTCATTAAGACACTTTATTATTCATTCAAAATATTTCCCAGATTCTGGTTGGCTAAAAGCACACGCATAATTCACCATAACTAGTTACTGATGACCAAATTTGGAAGAATTTTGTGTTTAACGAGGAAATGACGTCAAAAATGCAGCGGTTTTGCAGGTTAATGCACCGTTGACCGAGAAGACCTGGGGACGAGGTTGAATTCTTTTGGTCGTGAAAACAAAAAATGGTGGACATTTCACTCGTTTCAAGAGTAAGAACTAGACGGAATTATAGCTAAAAACATGGCAAGAACAGCAAGAAAACAACTCGAAGGGCGACATCTGCTATTCGGAAAATATTTGCGGAGCTGAACAACCCTAAACGTGCATTATCGAAGGCGAACTTAACATCGATGGAGGTAAGCATGTTTTAGCTTTGTTTTTAAACTAGGAATTATTTTGCATTAATAATAAAACAATTATTGAATTCAGCTTTCGTACGGCCTCGACGGATAACACCCTCCTCGATCTCCATAATTCTTCATAAGATACTCAGCCTCATTCATTAATTGTTAGTAAATATCTGCACACGTGATACCTTAATGTACCGATGCACTGTCCTGTCCTGGAGTCCCAAATTTTACACGTCTTGTCCTACAATTAAAGTGGACAAGGAAAACATGTAAGAAAAAGCAGTTTGTAAAGATGTTGTTTCGTTTACAAATTAATAGATTTATATTAACAAGATAGACGATAAATCTAGTAAAGAGCCCCATGACCTTACCTGCGCACACATTCTAACATTATAAATCATAATATTTACTACAGTCGAACCCCGTTTACGGACAGTTTGCTTTGTCCCTAGGGAAAAAAACCCCTTTCATTTTCTCTTAATTCACCCCGCTTAATACGGACACCTCGTTAATACGGACACTTTCTACGGACCCCTCAATGTCCGTATTAACGAGGTCTGACTGTATCAGCATTAAAAAAGCATGCTGAGATCAACAACCCCTGTCTTCTGATTTTGATGCATCCGTACGCTTGGAGCTTACCATGGCTCTCAATAAGCCTTTCCAGTGCACATCTTTAATATTGTTAAAAGGTTTTCGAAAAAAGTTAGAATCAAAGTGTGTCTGTAAAATTCCAAAACTTTCTGTATAGTTTTTTTGTTTCACTTCTTCTATGACCTAGTTCCGACATATCTACGGCAATTAGTTGTTAAGAGATCTGACATTCACAACAGACTTACAAATAACAGTGTCAAGCTACAAGTTCCTACCGCCCTTGCTCAGAACTCCTTTGTGTAGAGATCTACAGCCTGACTGGGTGAATCACTGATCAATCGAAACGACGAAGCCATTAGAAACTTAGGTTTGATAACACTTTTAGTATGTGCTCACACGTTACCAGAACTTGTAAAAGAGCTTACTCGCGTTTGTCACCAGCAGACTGACTATTGCAACAGTCTGCTATATGGAATTACCAGAAACCAGAAACCCATAAGGGGTTGAAACGTGTAACTCGCGTTCAATGCTTGTGAATATTCATTTTGACCGTATTTGGAAATCTTAGTGACGGATATCCATTTTCAACAAAATGGCTGCTGAGCGATCACCATGCAGATGTTTTAAGACAAGAGTTCTGCATTTCAAGGTTAAAAATATACCGTTAAAAGACAAAAAATGGAAAGAGAAAGTTCAAAAGAATGCTCAGCTTTCTTTGGAGAAAGGGAAGCTTTTCACCAAGAAATCGTTCTTCGAGGAATTCAACCTTGTTTTCTTCACGGCGGAGCCCATGGTCTGTTTTGAAATGCAACCAAAGTCAGCGAAGATTTTGCTGAATTTTCCGGTACATTTTGCACTCTATGGCCCTTATGAGTTTCTGCAGAAACTCAATAGAAAAACCTCAGCGTGTTCAGAACGCGGCCGCAAGAGTGGTATACCGTGCTCCAAAGTTCTGCCACATAACGCTGCTGTTGTTTGAATTACACTCTGGTTTCTGGTTAGGTTTAGAATTATATTCAAGATCCTTACTATTACTTTCAAGGCTATCTATAATATGGCGCCGAAATACCTCTCAGATCTGATAACCTTCAAGACAAGGACTATGTGCCACCTTAGATCTAACAATAAGTTTCTCTTGTCACAACCAAGTGTCAAGACAAGACGTGGCGACAGAGCCTTTGTGGTTGCTGCTCCGAAGCTATGGAATGATTTAGCCTATGACATAAGAATTATCAGCGATTTTACTTCAATTAAATAAAAATTGAAAACAGTTCTTTTTGTACAAAGTTTATAAATAGGAAGTTGTTATTTTTATATTTTATTTTATATTTTACTAGCATTACATCGTTAGTTTAAATACTGGTTTTTATCCTGTTACATAGTTAATTGTATTTTAGCATTGTATTTACTAGTGTTAATTTTCTTTCTATATATATAATTTCAATATTTCCTTGTTACGCGCATTTGAAAACCTAATTGTTGAATTTGCGCTGTACAAATGAATAAATATTAATTTTTTATCCCTTATTGTAATTTCAATAGTTTGTAAACTGATTCTGAAGACCTGTTTGTTAGAGAATCAATAAAGTCATTTGTATTTGTATTGATTTCTTGAAATGTGATTAAATTCCCTAGCCATCCTATCACACTTTCTCTTCCCATCATTCATTCATGTAGTGAGGGTATAGTTATAGAAATAGACATTTGCAACCACAACCACAACACCACAACCTACCATTGATCCGGTGACAATGAATGAACTATCAAAGTTAAATTGAGCATTGGAGATTTCTCCTCTGTGACCAATAAGAGTGTGCACTCGCCTGAAAACAAATCATCAATCATCAGTATTCAATACTCTTACGGAGTTTTACGTATCCTTCAGTCATTTATCATTGTGATGCTTGCCCTCCTTATCATAAATCATATTTTAAAACTTTAAAAGCACCAAAATATATAAAATAGAGTAGTTGTGTTTTAACTCCCTAAAACAAATGACAAAGTAACCTGGGCGTTAAAAAGCAGCATATCGTCAGAAAATTGCTTCACTTGCCCCAACTTATCATTAAACACCATGATAAACCACAATTGTTATGGAATGTCTACAGCAACTGCGTTGTGCAAATTCTATCTGAATTGCTGGTTTTCACTGTCACGCCATTCAATAGATCAAAATAAAAATCAAAACCGTTCAATAGATAAAGTCCGGAATCTGGGAAATGATCGGAGGTAAATATACGAAGACCCTCGCCAAGATTCAGGCCAAAAGAATATTCCGTATACGAGATATCCGAAGAAATGTTTTACCAAAATTTATAGAGAGTTGTATGAAGACGCCATGCTGGTGCCCACCTGGATGGGCACCAACATGGCGGACGGAAACCAATAGAAACATCTGTTACCGAGTTTTAGTACAAAAGCGTGAATTTATTCCTCGAGGAACTCAGCAGTAAGTCGTGTTGAGATCTGACTGTAACACAAACAGCAACTTCGCAGAAAAAAGGGGGCCACGAAAAATTAAACCTTGACTATTGAAACCATATTTCTTCAACTTTTGCTTTTTGAAAATAAGTGAGACAAGAAATGAGCAACTTGTCTGCCTGTTGTTAAGTTGAAGTGATATGTGACCAAGTTGGTTACATGCAAGGGTGGCTGAACGATGCTAACTTGAGACAAAAAAAGCTCAAGATGGACTGAAAAGGTCAAATACTGTGATGGGAATAGACAGTCTTCATTAACTTATGCACAATATTACACATGTAAGCTATAATTTAGTTTCACAGATCAAAGGAAACTAAGGACAATGAATAATATATCCACTCAACCACTTTGTCACCAGCCACTCCCAGAACATCATGTTCATACCAACCATTATGCACGTTGCATTACAAAAAAGATCGAGTGCAGTACACAGAATAATAAGACTGTAATCACTATTACAATTAATTATTAATAACAATAATTTAATAATTTATAAATTTACTATACCGCCTTTTAACATATAAACGATCAAAAGCGCTTTACAGTCATACTAATTAAAATTTATAAAATGAATCCATGATGGATAAAACCGATACAAAGTAAAAATGCTAAAAAAATACATAAATAAGATAAAATGAGTGAAAGCTAAAAAAAAACTACGTAAAAGCTAATGTAAAAAGATATCTTTTGACTTGTCTCTTAAGAGCGTACAGTGATCGGATATCACGGATATGAGCAGGAAGGCTGTTCCACAATGTACTAGAGCGGCAGCGGAAAACGATCTAGCGCCTAAAGTTGCCAACACACGCCCATTAGGATGTTCAAAAACAATAGAGTGATGCGATCTTAATAAATATGAAGAACAGGTCCTAATGCTAACAAAATCGCTGATGTAGCTAGGTGACATGCCATGAATAGCCTTAAAAATAATAATTAAAATTTTATGATGGGTACGATAAAACACTGGCAACCAATGAAGATTAGAGAAAACTGAAGAAATTAGGTCGTACTTTCTAGCGTTCGAAATAAGTCTTTTCGCGGTATTCTGGACACGTTGTAGTTTAAAAATCTGATATTTGGGCAGCCCAGAAAGTAAACTGTTACAGTAGTCTAGTCTTCAGGTCACAAAAGCATGAACTAATGTCTGAAGGCATTCCTTTGACAAAAATTTTGAAATTCGACGGATGTTATGAAAATGATAGAAGCAGGATTTACATATTTGCTTAATATGGTTGTTCATGCTTAGTGAATTGTCAATAATGGCCCCCAAGTTTCTAGCATTTAACGAAGGATCAATATTATGATCACCAACTTGCAGACTCAAGTGGCCAACACCGCCAAGTTTATTTAGCTGCTGTCTAGTCCTGATGACGAGAAATTTAGATTTATCGTCATTTAGTAGCAACCTTCCTAACCTGAGATCAGGTTCAGTTTTCGTTTCGCTTTGCAATAACATCCCGGCGCGCAAGGCGAAACGAAAACAGATTTAGTGGTAACCGTTAGAGAGAATGTATGAGAACCGCTAAAATTGGGCCTGATCTCAGGTTACAACCTTCCACCAATCAGCCATTTCCGTCAGTCACGTACGCACGCCTCCATAGCACGCAACGCCACATCTTTTGCGTTATCGTCATCTGCTCTGAAACTGGGGTACAGCTGCGTGTCGTCAACGAAACAACGAACTTGCGGGAGGTGACGCTCGATAACCTTAAAAAATGACGAACAGCAAGGGTCCCAGACAAGAACCCTGAGGTACGCCACAGCTAAGTAAGAACTGTCTAGAAAGCGACCCATCGATGGACACTTGCTGGCTCCGATTCGACAGATATGAGCTGAAAGAGTCGAGCACTTTCCCACGTATACCGACATCCCTGTGCAGTCGCTCCAACAAGATATCATGATCAACTGTGCCAAATGCTGCACTTAGATCCAACAGGACCATCAGGGTCACATGCTGCGGGTTCATTTTCAAAAGGACGTCGTTCATATCTTTGAGCCAGGCCGTTTCAGTTCTGTGATGTTGACGATAGGACGATTGCAGATCAGGATAGATTTCACTGACGACCATGTGCTCGTGCGACTAAATGCAACCTTTTCGGTGAGCTTAGAGAAGTCCTGCAGATTGCTGACTGATCTAAAGTCCAAGCTTCTTCAGCAAAGGATAAACTAGCGCACACTTACATTGATCAGCAAATGAGCCCGTCTGTAGAGAAAGATTAACGATCTTGGTGATAACAGACAACAGAATATCAATGCAGCCGACAACAAGAGGCGTAGGCATTGGGTCAAGTGTGCAGGATTTCTTAGGCGTGGCCTCAATGAGTTTTTTTGGGCTTGTGACTCATTCAACACTCTGAAACCATCCATAGGTTGCACAACAGGTGAGTCCGCTAAACACTTCTCACTACCAGGCGACACTGTCGTAGCCATGTTATCAAGCTTGTTTTGTATGACCACACTCTTCTGAGCGAAAAAATCACCAAACTTATTAGCAAGTACAACCTTGTCATTAAAAGGAGGATATTGAGTATCTCGCTCCACGCTAAGAAGTCTCTTCGTTACCGAGAAAAGCTTCTTCTGGTCGCCACTGATCTCGTCAACGAGGTCTTTGTAAAACACCCTGCGTGTAACATTCATGAGGTTGTTTGATTTGTTTCTGAGATCCTTGAACGCTCGTAAATCGGCCGCCAGGCCTGTGCGGCGCTATCTCCTCTCCGCCTTTGTCTCCTTGCCTCCTTTATATCGTCATTGAACTACGGCACCAGAGGCCGAGATGGGATAGTCCTTGTTACGAGTGCAGCATGACGGGGAAAAGTAGACGAAAGTGTAGTGTTGTAGCAATAACAAGCTAGCCAAGAGTGTCGGGAGGAAACTTGCATAAGTCCGAGGAAGAAAGTTCATTAGACAGGGCTGCCAGGTCAACGCCCTTAGTTTTCTTAAATGTCACTGTCTTCCTAGTTACACTAGGCTTGTCGAGGTTTGACAAGCAAGTAACAGTCCAGTGATCGGATATGTGATAGTCAGATACAGACGTTGTCTTGACCAGGTTTTTCAGATTATAATAATTCATTTCCTGTAGGCATATGTTTATGCACATTTGTTGCGTGTGGTAGTTCATGATTCATGTTACTTTACCCTACAAAATTCTATTTCAAAGAGCATCCGCAAGTGTTTCTTACCTGCCAGTTCTTGTATCCCACACACTAACAGTATGATCAAATGACCCTGTTAGCAGTTGATCCCCATTTGTATTAAATGAACAAGAAATGATCTCTGCTGAGTGACCCTGTGAATAAAAAAGACAACTTAAACTTTCCTTTTTTCATCCACATGCTTGAAGGATATTTAGAAAAACATTGGTGTTTAAAAACTGTCAACTCCTTTGGCAAAAAGCGAAATGAGGGCAGGTTATTTGTGGCTGCGTTTTTCACGTGTGTTTCGTGAGGTAAAAGATACAAACTGAGATCAAAGAAAACGAGGAGGAGAGTTCAAGGGAAAGAAGGCAGAGAGAAAAACTTGGGTTTTGAAACTTCTTTCGCCAGTGGACAGAGCAAACATCATTCCTTACTGGTCGATAAAATGTGTACACATGTAGTATAGCATGCAGTAAAGCAGGCAACTATTCATATAACATTGATGTCACCCACGTACCAAATATGAGCCACAAACGACTAGAAAGGGTATTTCAAAAAGTCTCAAGGGGTTGAATGTAGACAGTTTTTCTCTGCCGTCTTCCTCTCGCCCCGCCTCTCGTTCACAACTGACAAGTACAACACTTGGAAACTTCTATGGCCAATTTTATGGCTGCGTCACTGAACTTTTGGCTGATTAAATTTGTGGAAGAACAAAGTTTAATTACTACCTGTGTAAATAGTTGAAAGAACATTAATTATACCCCTTATTTGCTGGGTCAGATTATCATATATCTGATAAAACACTGCATATTAATTAGGAAGAGGTTTTATCGATTGATTGATGATCAGCCATTTGATAGGTCAATGAGCTTATGAATTATTGACTAACTGACTGGATAATGAAATAATGAATATATGAATTGCACAATTTCATATAATTGAACTGCGGGATGGAGAAATAATTAATGCAGACAAGATCATCACAGGTAAATACGCAACTTATGCAGTTGCCAAAAAATTCGAACCCTGACTTCTGAGATGCCGGTGCAGCGCTACTAACCAGTTGTGCCAGCAAGCGAACTGGGAGGTGGTCATTTTATAATATACCCCAGAAAGAGGAAGATAAAATAATAATATTTGAATTTCACATAGCTGACCTACGGAAGAAAGAAATAGATGCAGAGAAGATCAAATACTCAAGTTATAACAGCATTTATACTCACTGATAATGTGGATATCTCTGCCCCTTTTTGTACATCCCATAGTTTTGCAGTTGTATCCATACTTCCAGTGGTAACCACAGTACTTTGTGGGTTAAATGCCAAACAGACCTGCAAAACCAGCCAAGAAAGTCTAACAGAGGACTTCTATTCCACAACCAACTGTCTTTTCTACTTTTTAATCCATTGACCACTCACCCCATTTCCCCCTAAACTGAAATTTAAACCGCTTTTTTCGAAGAACACTCACGTGCACTCAGAGCATTTTGTCCACTGGCCACAATTCTAAGGATTTGGAGTGAGCAAATCAGAACATACGCTCTTAGTTTAACAGTACCCTGCAGTCCAGAAATCGAGTGAAGTGAATGACATGCTGTCTGCTTTATGACTTTATACTCACACTCCTCCTTTCACCACCCTGACCAATTCAACATCAATTTTTGTTACTAGTCACGATAACTCAAACCTTCTAGGGAAATCGAAAAACGTCCGAGTTAGCGGGAGTTCGAAGCAAATAACCGGAAATAAAAAAATGGGATAGGGAATGAATGCAAGTAACAGGCACACTTCAAAACTGGATAAATACACAGTGATGGACACTGCATTTAAACTGGACTGACAAAAAAGTAAAGACAAAGAATACATGGTTGTTAAAATAATTTCAATGTTTTGGACAGCAGCACACTTTTTTCCGACTTGTCGGGCGCTTAAAGCATGGTTCGAGTTATCGTGGGTAAATTTATACAGAAATGATCTGAAGGGAAACAAAAATTACTTTGAGTTAGCGGGAGGTCCGAGTTATCGAAGAGTTATCGAGGGTTTGAGTTACCAAGGGTAAAATTATATTAAGTGTATGTAGGAAATCCAGGGGAAATCGCTTTTGGTTCGAGTTCACGCGAGGTTCGAGTTGTCAGGAGTCGACTGTAGTTAATACAGTAAATAAAAGGCATGGCAAAATAATAGAAGTAGGAAAACAGGAAAAAAACCTAGTTGCCAGGGTTCAAACTCGCACCTATCCACAAATAAGAACTTCGCCACTCTGCCATAGGAACTGACATCGCAAAGCATGTCAAAACTAGCTCTGTTACAGCCCTATCACATAGACCCAGTTCAAACGAACACTTCTCACTCGGTTTGAACAGCAAATAGAAGCACGAACTAATCCCAATGGAGGTAAAAAAGAAAGCCTATCAAGTTACAGGGGTAAACAAATTTTGAATGGATTACGAGTAGTCCTGACTAATTCTTATGGTCCGTCTTTTGAGGAAAAAAACCCCAAGCAGAAGAAAACATGATCTTCCTAACTATCTTTTCTTTCATAGCTGATTGTCGTGATGTGGTATCAACCAATTATCGAGTAATTTTGCACACATATGTCTTGGATAGAAATTTACAAAAGGCCAAGCTACAGCCCACACTGCCATGCAGCCCGACTATCAATTACGGGACAAATGGGTGTTAGTTAGCCATCCCCTTGACAATAGGCATGAGGGTTTAACAAATTCTTGGCCTTGGACACCACTTTTCCTACATTATTGGTTGCATAGCCTGCTCTAAAAGGGAAACAACTCATGACAACAGCAAAGTGCATAATCATGCCTAGTATGCCGGCTGTTACATGGACTGATTAACTTGACTCACGTTGAGAGTCAGCATCATCACCGGAACTTCAAAAAGTATGTACACATGTACAACACGAGTACAGAACCAAACATTAACGAAAAAGAAACTCTCACTGGAAAGAAAAGTTTATTGCAAGACTTACTATTTCAGCATTGTGTCCTTTGTAGGTATGATAACACTTTCCTGATTCAGCACTCCATAACTAAATACATAAAAACAGGACATAAAATAATGTCTTTCTCACCCCGTTACACACCGCTGATAACTAATGCACGTTTATTTCAGCCAAATAATCTACAATTTCATGGCTGCCGCGCAGCTAAATTACAATAGAATTAGGAAATTCATTAAGCTAAATTATCACATTTCAGTTTGATAAATGGTGGTCCATTTACAAAACTCATGATATTGAATGCTTTTTTTTAACTGTTCAAATTCACTAGTCAGACTAACAGCAAGTTCACATTCTGTCACTTGTTCACTTCGTTGGCACATCATTATGTTTTACTGGTGCTCATACCTTACAGGTCTTGTCAAATGATCCAGTTGCAATTTTGTCCCTGTAGATGGCATACATGTATTACTAAGTCATCAACAGTAGCATGCAAAGAAAGTAGTGTCCAATACCCCGGGGCTAGTGGATTTTGCTATCCGGCTAGTGATTTTTGTTCTTAACTTGCCCGACTGGCAAGTACTGTGTTTTGGGGAAATTCAAGTTACAGAAGAATTGTAATCAATCCTGCTAATAAAAGGGTTTTGGGCTAGTTGAAATGACTTGTGGGCTAGTACATGCTAGCTACAGCTTGCCCAAATAGCAGGCTGTAAAACTGACTTTCTTTGCACCCTGCAACAGCCCTGTTGGGTACCAACTGATCCCCAAGTTTCCATCACGGGGGCAACAGTAAAGCAAATAAAATAAATGTCACACAAAGGTGGGATCAACAAGAACACGTAGATTAAAAATCCAACATCACAAATGGGATATTAGATGGTAGAGTGTCATGAAGAAGCAATGTGTAGCACCACATTCATCCCATACCCAAAATGCGCTCATTTAATAACTATTGTTGATTAAAATGTCCCTAGTTATCCAATAATTGTTTTCAAAAAATGGCCAGAATATATTGCTGAAACCTCCCAATATCATTTTGTTAATTATCAATTTAGAATAATTATTAAAAACAAACCAGAACAGAAAAGGGTCACATGTCTGTCTAATGGCCACATTTATGTGTCAATATGAATAGACTGAATGAATGAAAAAATGAACACTTTTAAAAAAAACTCAGTGATGATTCTCTCATTTAAGATCCTAAACACTGCTAGACAGCAGAATAACTGCAGACAATGAGGACAAGAAGAGTTGCAGTAATCAAAATTAATTTGGATATCTGGTGTATAGTTTACATTAGCTGAACAATAGAGGAAAACTATTCCCTTGTCACCATGGACAAAATGCACGCAAAACTTTATTGTTACAGAGTTGTTTATGGCCGCCAGCTGGTTTTCCTGAACAAGACCAGAAGCTATGCTGATGTCTGGATTGCCATTATGAAATTGGGTTCATAGACTGTATTTAGCAGCTAGTTAATTGTGGTTTATGTCCTTTTTGTCAGATGAACAGGCTGCAGATAAGCTTATAAATCAACAAGTGCCATCGTGATCATCAAGAAATGCCGTGAACCTTGCCAATGCCTGTCTTCTTTTGTAGCTGGTGAAGACATTTCTATCATGTATTTTCATGCACTTTTCAGCAATTTTTCAAAGAGAAGTCTGTCATTTCATGCTGTAATTACACTTTGCCGCTTTCTTTATGTTTTCAGATGAATAATTTTGTTGGAGTATCTGAATTTCATGGAAACGTTACTGTATATTCTTTCAGAGATCACCTTTAATTTGCACCTATCATAGGCTGGGGATATTGTTCTCTATGTTCCCTTAAAGATTTATAATCCGTAGTTACTAAAACATGGAACGACCTAAAACCACCTAAAACCATCTACAACCACCTAAAACCACCTACAACCACCTCAAAAAATTCAACAACCATCTACAACCACCTCAAAAACATCTACAACCACTCACAAACAATCCAAAACCATCTAAAACAAGGTATAAATGTCTGAAATAAGGCGAGACGACAACATGTCACGAACACGAAATACGAGAATCGAACAAAACATCCACTTCCCCCTAAAATCTTACTCTCCCTGGTCCCTTGTATCATCTACCAATGGCTTAAGTTACGAAATGAAATGCGAGATCATGCTACGCATATTAAAAGACTTAAAGAACTTTACAAAATGAACTATCAAGTCACAAAAAATAATAAAATAAAATAACAAACTCGTAGTCGAAAGAGTTAGACTGACTTGATTTGGCTTTTTCTACCCTGGGTACCAGTGAGACGTTTTGGTTCACGTTTCATTTGTTTACGCAATGGCACAGTGTAGGGTTTCTCTCTCTTTCGGAGTCTGCTTCACTGCTGTTTTGTTCTAAGGTGGCGGATTACATTCCTAAGAACAAGTTAATTTTTTTAGCATCTCATCCGCCAAACATGTTTGTACATTCCAGGTGACTCCTTTAGATGAACCCTAGTGTCTTTCACACCCGTTTCCTGTGTCATCACGCAAGGCTAAACTCCCTTGCGTCACGACACAGGAAACGGAGACTAGTAGGTGTAATCATTGTTAAAAATGTTATTTAAAAAAGTCTATAATGCAATGGATTCAGAAGAAAACAAGTTAAGACGAGCCGAAATTAATAAAAATGGGTTGAGAAATTTTAATAGTGAATGATTGTATTTTAAGTAATTTAGCTGGATTTTTATATACCTATATTATGTTTTGGAACCCAACTTTTACCCCGGCCCTCTTCTAGGGAGTGATGGGATATGCGCGCTTCTTATTTTCGCTTTGCTCGTTGTAAATACATCCCCACTATACTATCTGAGAGCCTGGCACAGGCTAGAGTAGCTGGAACTTTACGAGCTAAAACGGAACGAAAAATTTAGATCACATATTCGGGTCTTCCCTCCCCGCCAAGGGACGTTACTGGTAAGAACGTTTTGATTCATTTTGCTGAAAAGAATTATCAAATATCATGTTTTCTAATTCTTGCAACTGTAAACGGGTTAATAGCTGTTTAAAATCAGGCTCTACAAGTGAGACACGTTCACACTAGACTAAAGGGTTCTGCGGGACTACATACATTTGTGTGAAACTATTTCAGACATTTATACCTTGTTTTAGATGGTTTTAGATTGTTTGCGAGTGGTTGTAAATGTTTTTGAGGTGGTTGTAGATGGTTGTAGGTGGTTGTTGAATTTTTTGAGGTGGTTGTAGGTGGTTTTAGGTGGTTGTAGATGGTTTTAGGTGGTTTTAGGTCGTTCCATGTTTTAGTAACTACGATTTATAATCACACAGGCAGTATATCCTTCAAACACATATTATTTCAGATCAATTAATTTTTGCATAACTTATCACTTGACAATGTTTTTTGCTTTTGGCACTGTCATAAGAAGAAAATACATGTATTGTAGCTGTTATTCATTTAGTTTCTTCTTTACCTAGAAAATCTATGAATTAAAAATGTTAATGCTTAAACCTGCAAGACTGACCTACTAATCTCATGTTTTTCTTTAATTCGCAGCACCCAACAGAAGAAGAATTCTTAAACATTATTATAACATTATGTAACTGAGTTTCATGTCATGAATCTCAATTTATGACTGAATACACAATGATTGATTCTTGGCGGTTACAGAAATCAAGTACTAACAAGTTAATCGAAAAACTTGAACTCAAAACAGGGTATCAAGCAGGCAAGTAATTACTAACTTTGAACAATAGTGACTGTATCAAGTTGCAAAGATACCATCATGCACATACCCATATGGATTGTTGAAAGCAATTGCATACACAACATTTTTATGCCCTTCAAGTACATGGAGCTCCTCTCCTGATGCAGTGTCCCATACTTTACATGTTCTGTCATAGCTTCCTGTTATAAAACTAAAGCACAAGATGGGCACTGTCATCATAATAGCAAACTAATAGTTACAACTAGGAGTAATCTCAGATTAGGAGATGCGTTCGAGCTTTTTTATCGGAGCTCTCGCGCACGAAGCGCGTGCAGCGGAGCACCATGGGTAAAGAAATGTGGTAAACTACCCATCCGAGAAAATTTGGTAATCACGTGAACGTACACCGACCGCCCGCCCACCCGACCGTTCGTCCGCACCACAGGCATACCAATGTAAAATAATTCAATCAACAGGTATTGCAACCCAAATGCAGCTCAAGGTTTTATTCGGAAAGAATTCGTATGGCCGCCCGGACTTTTAGAAAGAAAAAAACAACAACAAAGTCATGTTTTTTTCGCAGTTATTTGAGAGAAAGAGCTAGAGCGAGTGATTAAAAACAAATGCGACGAATTTTGTGAGAAGAAAAAAATGAAAATTCAAAGCGGATGTGAGGCAATGAAAAATGCTAGCGGCCAGCAAGGTGAAAATAAGCGGCAGCGAAGAATAAAAGCGAACATGAACACAGGAGACAAAATATTGGGTAAGCACATACGACAATTCCTCCATTAAAATAATGTATAACTAGGAAGTTTGACGTTTTAGTCCTACAAAACAGCGCTGTAGTTGTGCAAAACAATGGCAAAGAAAGACAAAAAGCGTGCTGAAAGTGCAAATTTGTTTTTTTGCTAATTAGAAAAAAAAAGTGTGCTGCATGTGCAATTTGTTTTTTTTTACTAATTAGGGACTTGTTAGAAATTAGCAGGGGGGAGGGGGGGGGGTGGTAATTTCAAATTTGAGTTCGGAAATGAGGTGACCCATCCCTGCAATGGGAGTGAAATTTGCTGTCCCTCCCCTTGAGCATGTCCTAAAATATCATTACCCTCCCCTTCTTGTATAAATGATAAAATCTAGTTCTTACAATACACTAGGGTGAGTCAGTATTATGAAAACTCAAAATATATTTCTAGTCTGTTCTTTGTAATGCTATATAGATACATTTTAGATGACAGCATTAAGAGTCCCACTCTGATTCTGACAGCTGATCACTTGACTCTCCTATTTCTCCCAGGTTTTTTTTTTTTACCAAATAAAGAACTTCCTTTTTCTTCTGTGGGTGAACCTCTACATGATCATGGGCATATCTTTGCATGACCCTCCCCCTTTCAACGGCCCATTTTTCCCTTTTCTGAGTCTCAAAAAGTTGCGACCCTCCCTCTGTTTCCACCCCCCTCCCCCCCTGCTAATTTCTGACAAGTCCCTTTATAGATCTATTGATCTTGATGCCATTTTCATTGCCCTCCCCATTCAGCATTACAACATTTAATTTTTTTTGTTTACAAGTATTATTAACCAGAGCTTCGCTTTTAGCCCTGGCTAAATCTATATATTAGGTTTACTGTCAAATGTGACATTATTTCCTAACAAACTGATGCTGTAAAACGCTTCCTATGTTTTTAAAAAAGAAACAAAACCAAACAACTACACAAAAAAGAAAGAAGTCTCACCAGACAGGAGTCGAACCTGAGACCTTCAAAGTGTAAGGGCAACGCATTATCCATTGTGCCAGAAAACCATTGCTAAGACCGTACGTCAAATTAATTGTATTTAACATTTTTGTGCCCACGAGATAAATTATTGAAGATGGCACAGAAAATGCGGATGTACAACGAAATGAGTACCATAAAAAGTCACCCTTGAGTACCACAGGAATCCCAATCTTCTTTTCACAAAATTCTTTATACAGTTTAAATATATTTTACTATGTGTACAAGGGGTGTTTGGTGCGTGTGTCATTCTAAAGGTCATGGGGTGCATTTAACCAGTCATTGTAGTCTAGAAGAATATAAGGCAGGCACTGTAAGGTGTAAAAATGTAAATAAGTACATCGCGCTTTGTTGAGAACAAAATTATGTATAGAACATGCTGTTTTTACAAAAAAATGTCATGGTTTAGATCATTGAGAACTTACAATACCAACTTACTGGGTTATCTTTTAATATTATTAACTAGTGTTAACCAATACAACAAGTTTACTCTGGACTAGTTTTTTGACAACCAGAAAGCCTTTGAATTATATAACAGCAGTTAAATGACAAAAGTTACCTGGTTCCGGACTTGTTAAAGGCAACATTGGTTAGAGGAAGGATATGAGCTCTTAAGGCCTAGTGAACAAAAAACAGTAACAAAAGAGAATAAGAAAAAAAACCTTAAAAAAAAAGAAGAAGAATGAATATTCGATTTTTAATGACATAAACATTTTAAAGTTCTGTCACAGTATATATAGGTCACATGTTTCATGTTAGCTGGGTGTACATTATGTGAAGTAGGCAGCTGTTACGCGTGGAGGCCATGTGATGAAAAAAGTATGATATAAACTGATTCTTGTTTTTGTGTTTAAATCAGTTTTATGGTAGCTTTTGATAATAAATCTCTTATTAGACAGTTTAGTGTGTAGTGCTTATTGTGAGATATTTTACTTGTCTCTTGTATTTATATATATTTATACAACAACTTGTAAAAATATCCCACAATACTATAAACACACTAAACCATCCAATAAGATATTTTATTTCATAGGTACTGAGATTTATCCACGAAAATCATTGTGAATAATATTCATACTGATTCTGCTCGTAGCCAATCAGGAGCATGAATGATAAAATTTCACTGTGAAAAACTATTGCTTGTCCAATCACCAATGCGAACGATGAAATTTCACTTATGATGAATGAACGTACTGAAGAGAATGTCACCTGAGAGCCGTTGCACAAAAACCAGCAAGCTTTGAAAAATGGCCGAGGGAAGGTTTGCTTCTGTTTGCTCGGTTGAAGAATTTATTTTGGAACACGAAAACAAAAATACCACTCAAAAAACTGAACAACATGTAATATTGCTTAAAACATTTTTGAAAATGAAGCACAAAGACAGGAAAATTGAAGATATTCCAGCGGCTGAGCTGAATGAATACATTAGCGAGTTTATCCTCTCCGTCCGTGCTTAAGATGGCAAAGAGGACCAGCCAACTTCGGTGCGAAGTTTAATGACCAGCTTTGAACAACATTTGAAGAAAAACGGCTATTCTGCCAGCACAATCAACAACCTGGTCTTGGGGATAACCTGAAAAGTTCTTCAATCCAAGCAGAAACAGCTAAAGAAGCAAGGAAAAGAGAATAAGCCCCTGGGGGTGGGGTACTTAAGGAATCTCTTGGTGGGGTTGTCCTGCTGGCACACTGGAGCCCTTAACTTATACCAGAGCTAGTTTAGCTGAATTTTGCTACCCTATACTGGTGTTAACTCCCCAAATCCCCCCTATCTTACAGTAGCTGTTTTATAGAAACTACTGAGGTCACTAGCACAGTCTAGCCAAAACTAAACCTTATACAATCCCTAGTCTAGATAAAATCTTCAACCAACTGATCAGTTTCTTGAAAAATGATACCCTCTTCTAGACCCAAATGCTCTGATCCATATACCCTATCCTAGAGTAAACTGCTTGAAAACCATACCCTTCATACCTATATAGCCCATATATGGCTGTACCCCCCCACCCCCAGATTGCTCACAATGTGTAGTCCTGATCCTGAGGCACTTTTAAACATGCTCTGGCTGAACAACACAGTAAGTGTTCTAAATTTTATAAGCTTGTTATTGAGCGATTTCAAATTGACTACTTTTTACTCTTTTGATTGCCCCCTTTGTGCAATTTGTCTACCAAATTAGTCAAAAAAAATCTCAGTACCTATGAAATAAACACATTACAGCATGGGAAATGCTATGTACGATTTTTATTCACTTGTTAATACGTATCAGAAAACGAATGAGTGAGCACAGCAAACAAGTGAGTTTTCTGATACTAATACTGATACTACTACTATACTATTCATCAAAAGCTAAAAATACACATCTTTTACAAGTAAGTGTAAGAAATTTTAAAAAGGTAAAAAGTAAGAATTGAGAAAATCTAGTATATTACAAAGCTAATTCATATTTAAAAACTAAATGATTAATAAAAGAGTTTTTAAAATGCATAGTCTTAATATTAGGTTTCAAACAACTTTCTTTCCTAAGATTGTAACTGGACAGTTTAACACGAGGAATAACAGATAAAAGTGGATGTCCTTTAGCATTACAAACTTTTCTGAAAATTTTACAGTCTTGCCTCTTTAAGAAATCATAAACACTTACAGGCTTAGACGTATATTTCCTTTTAAAACAGCGGTCTAAGAAACATTGTACAGGATGGTGTAAGATTGGACTCTGACACGGCATAGACAGATAATGCATAATTAATATTAGGTAGAACTATTGTATTAAGCAGAAGGTCTATTTCTGACTTTACCCCACTAATAGTAAAATAACATATGGAAAAGAACCTTGATATAATGAAACCTCATTATAGAAACCACATTTTGACAGTCCCTTCTTGGCCCTTTGTGATATCAAGGTTCCACTGTAGATAATTATACCTTGAAAAGGTAGAAATGATGATCCACACTTTCTGCCTGTTTTTCTTGCAGCCCTGTATTACAATAACAGTCAAGGACAACACTTCAATGCAGTTAAATGCCATGTAATAGAGTTAACAATTAAGGAGAGCAAGTCTTATCTTGCTGGCCAGCGATGATGTGAGAATTGTGCATGCAACACTATCCCACATGCTCTTGCAGTTGTGTGCATTGTAGCATGTTCTAATGCAGTTTTTAGCGTTCTGGCATTTTGGCAGGTTAGGGAAGTTTTTAGTGAGCATTTATTCAGCGTTGGCATCTCAAAATTGTGGGGACTCAGTTTATGACGGTTCCACCCCCTCCCTTGCCTATTTCCACTGACTTGCTCAGTGTGACGGGTGCCTGCTTTCTCCCTTGCACGTGGGGGTTCATGGCTGAGTTGCCAGGATTTGCCAGCCATAGGAGCAGTCCCCTTCAAGGGGTGGGCTGCCAATAGAGGAAGCTCCTGGATATTTCAGGCACCCAAACTTCCAGTTTGCGATGCACCTATTAACTTGTATTAAAATGAAGAACAGACTTGCAGTCTGCACTCTAACTGTACATGTTGAACACTACGTAATTTTGTGACATTGTAATTCTTAAATCAAAAAAATATTTCAATACTTGCTAAAAAGTAATGTGTGTAAATTACAATAAAATTAAAATTAAATTTACTGCTATATTACATAGGTAAAGTATTTTGCTAAAAATAATAGCCAGTGAGCCAGTGAGAAGGGACTTCAGGCTAAACTGTTAATTTCTTTGTATGGATCAGGAGTGATCTCACATCACTACAGGTACAGTTACTAGGCTATTTACAAAATCTTGGTACAAGTATAACTCCTTGCAGGCCACACAAACTTAAACTTAATGTACTTATCGGACATCATTTCGCTTTTTCAGTGGCAAAAAAAAAGCCTGAAAAAATTCAGGTTTGCCAGCCTGAGGATTCCGACACTGACCTCTGTGATACCAGTGCAGTGCTCTGGTATCGCAGAGGTCAGGGTTGGAATCCTGGCAAGCCTGAATTTTTTCAGGCTTTCTTTTCACAACTGCAAAAGTTGTGAGGATCTTCTTTACATTTATTTCTTCATCCTTCTGTTCAAATAAACAAAGTTCACATATTCATATTTAGGTGTCATGATTTGATGCCTGTTAATTTATTGGATTTTAGTAAATTGTTAGTGTTTTATTTTTATCTCTGTTCTCCTCTACAATTTACTGTTTAATTTTCCACAATTTAAGGTTATTATTATACATTGCACTCACTTAATCTTCCTTCTCCTGGCAAAGAGCCTACAGTTAATTTTGGAAATCATTGCAACCTACAGATTAGTTAGTTGATATTTGCCAACTAATCTGTACATTGGAGCAATCAAAGAGCAATCTCAAGCTGTAAAACTGTGTTTGAGGCCTTTTTCACCATCTGGCTTCTCCATTTACTCATATCCCCAAGGCTTTCAGTGAAATGGAATTGTGGCATCTATAAGAACGTCACTCTCACTAACACCAACACTTTTTTTTATTCGGTGCCTCTCAATTTCATATTTTCTATTGGTTTAAAACTATGAATTGAATTCTCTTCATTTTCAGGTACCTTGAGCAGCAGCATATCCTTCCTTGCCCATCCAACTCCACGCCGAGATTGGGGAGAATAGACCACATGACCAGCCAAAGGAATTATGTTTGTGTGTGAGGCAAGGAGCGGAGACTAGTCCGCTTTCCGTTTCTCTCAGTTTTACCTTTCTAAAGATGTTTTTATATACACAGTCCATAGTCCACATTTTCTACCTGGTCCAAGTTTTATACCCAGTTCGCAGTCCATGGCCATGGTCCACAGTCCATGTTTTATACTGACTGTAAATTTTCAGCCTTATATCTCAAAAGTAGCGATTGCAACAGCCGCCAAAATTTAATAGAAGGATTTGTACGGGAAAAACAATTCTTGCCACCCAGTCACACGAATCGTTTTCCACACAAATCCTTGTAAATTTCGACATTTTTCAAACTGCTGTGAAATATTTTCTTAAACATTACTTGGCTCGAATCTCTTTTTTAATTCATGACAGGCAATTTGAGCCATTAAATGCACAAGGGAAAGATTTAATGAGAGTTTAAAAATTTCAAAATTTACAAGGATTTGTATGGAAACCTCTCAAGTGTAACTGGGTGGCAAGAGTTGTTTTTCTCACACAAATCCTTCTAATTTTTGGCGGCCGTTGCATTATTGCTTCTTGTGAGATATATGGCTGAAAATTTACAGGTTACCTTATTTTAATATGCTCTATCAGTTCCTGCGAACAAAATTTTCCAAAAGCAAACTATTTTCGTGTTTACAGAAAGTTGATCACGTGACCAACTATTGCAAAAGGCGTATTGCAGCCACAAAGAGTTTATCTTTGGTTAAATTTGTGCCCCAAAGGGCAACAGTAATTAACACTTGGAAACCACCTCATGTAAGTACCTAAGTTTCACATTTTTCTTTGTTTTGTTGCTATTATTGTCCTAGGCATTATTGTGTTGCCTTAGTTTCCCTGCTGCGGTGGTGATAACTGTCAGAGTGAATGCAAAACTGTCAACCACAAGACCAGACCAACAAACACTCACGAAACAAAGCAGTAGACAATAACCCTAGTTGCAGAAGCAGTATGTGACAATATTGGTAAATTGTAAACGGTCATGTGGTGGCCTAGTTTTCATGAATTACAGAGTTGCTGTTGAACCACCATCTTGGAGTGCTCTCTTCTTTTTGTCTCTTGTTCTCCTGCTTGATACACCGGTAACAATTGTTACACAGTACAAATTAAAGCTTGGTAAAAGGCCCCCAAAGACTGAGGCAAGCCTTCCAATACCAAAAGCGATAAATGTAGGATCTTGCATGCAAGTTGGGAGAGAAGGAAGAGTGTGATGATGCTGCAAAGGATGCCGAAGAGCGGGCTGACCCGGTAACCACAAACTGAGAGGTGATTAAGACACTAGAAAAGGGCCTTGGTGAGGCCACAAAAATTATTGCTGGGTTAAAGCAAGAGCTCCAATCAGCACACTGAGAGCTGTCGCAGCAACCAGAGCCACTGCAGCAGCCAGTTGGTCAACAGTTGGGCAACAGTTTTTCAGGGCGCTGTTCTTCTCTTTTTCATAAATAATGCAAGTTTTTTTTATGATATCTCTATACTACACTCTGAAAGTTGCGTTTAAGACAAGTTATATATAAACATGACTGGTGAGACTAACCTGAGGTTGTTTTTTTTCCATGTCACATGTTAAGAGAGCCTGGGAGCAGGCTCCACAGTGGGAGAAAAAAAAACATTTTTGTGACAAGCAGGTCGGCAGTGGAGAGGGTGGGGGGGGGGGGGGAAGTGTGCTAGTGCTACCTTTTCATTCCCCAATCAACTGCTTGGCTCACTTTGCTTGCCAAACGTTTTCTGCCATTTCACCCTGTTTTTTGCCTTTTCCCCCACTTCAGAGCTTGGTCCTATGCTGTTAAAAAAGTTTATTCACTTGACAAACGATTCATTAAGATAAAATGTTGTTGTAATGAGTTGTTTTGCACTTTAGAAGAGACCAGTATCAGTACTCAAGTACCGACATCACTGTGAATACTCATGGCTTCTGAACACAGTAAGATTGACTTTAAGGTGTCAAAAAAAGGAAAAAGATAATATTAAAAAATTACATTGACTGATACAGTACAAGAAGCAAAAATAAAGGATACTAATAATCAGCTTCCTAACTTGCTCCATTTTAGAAGGTGTAATCAAAGGTTCCTTGGAAACAATATCATCAAGCAGCATATCAACATCAGTTCTAAAAAAGAAGAAGTCAGTGATGAAATGTAAGTTATTTTTACAAAGGCGTTTTAACTTCACTTGTGTAGTCACAAATGACATGGACATCTGAAAAAGCTATATTTAAACCTTCCAAAATATTTGTAGATGAGATGGGCTTACAGCCATAAATTATAACAAATAAGTCCTTAACATTAATTATTTTAGTTTTGATCACCATACAATTTATTTTTAGCTCTTAAGGGGCGGATCCAGGATTTTTTTTAGGATGGGGTGCACTCATCTCTTGCTCTACTTCAACACCAATAAACCAGATAGTTTTTTTTTTGCAGAATACCAGTTGTATTAGAAAACCGCAGGTCATCTCAGGGGGTGGGGGTGTGCACCCCCGCACCCTCCCCCTAGATCCGCCCCTGCTCTTTGATAGCAAATATCAATGCCAAAGTTTAAGCTTCCTACTCATTTAAACACTTTGTGTGGATCACTCCTATTCAAGTGGTTCAAGTTAAGGTATAATTGAGAGACAGTTGGGTTTTTCCTGTGCCATTGGTTTATTGCTCATTTTGATGCTCATAATCCATGAAGCATGGTTCAAATTATTTGTCTGCTCAGAATCATTTAAAAGTCAGTAATAATTATTTCCCTAATTTTCCTCAACCGCTGTTATCTTTGTACTAGCCTGCGAGCAGAGGTTTCTTTCTTGCATGCATGACTTTTAGCATTTACAAAGTCATTCATGTCACTTGTTAGAAGAGTATTTGGTTTGTTGACTCTGCAACTGACAAGCGACAAGAAAGACTTTGTAAATGCTAACAGCCATGCAAGACAGAAACAACTGCTCACAGGGTATCTCTCTACAGTTGTGGTTTAAGCGTCCCTGGAGCACAAGGCTTAGCTGTACGCAACATGCATTCTTTGCATATATTAACTGATTTGGGGGTTTTATCATGCTTTTGGTAGGAACGTGATTATAATGCTGTTCCTTTTGAATATCGGTTTATGAGTCAATCATTTGTAAATGTGACCATTGTTTATCACAGGACAGTATCAGAAAAGCTTGACATTTTGAATGCTTAGGTTTTCTTCTTCTAACCGATCACAGATATATTTTTTGCTCTTCTTGGAACTGAGGGATGAACAAAAAGTCTCAAAGAAATTTGTATTGTTTCCCAAATAGTAGGAGCTTGACATTGAAAGAGCACAATACTGTCAACAGCACCACAAATCTGCCAACATGAAGACATTAAATTTTGACCAATCAGCTAGAGCTAGCATGATTCCACAATCTGGTATTATGGAATGGCAGCATCAAAGCATGTCTCCAGGCTATGCCGCCCTTTCCCCATTCCCAGCCCACCACTGGGCTTGCTTCACTCATGAACTTTTTCCCATTTGACCCCTTTTTTTTCTTTTTTTCCCCCACTGTGGAGCCTGATCCCAGACTACCAGGCACAGAACTGAAAAATTGTTTTCCATGGGATTTGAAATGCTAGGGCTTGTAAAAACAAGGTGTCTGTATTAAGAGGGTGTCTGTAAAGCCGGGTTCAACTGTACTTCCCTAGTTGCCTCAAAGGGCAATAGATACAATTTACTCATATCCTCTATTAGGTAATGACGATTTAAGAGTCTTTCTTCACTAGTAAAGACGTTGGCTAAAGAGACACAAACATAGTGTAAATTTTTTTTTGTTTACTGGCGCTATCAAGAGGTTTTTTTTCAGCTTCAAGGTATGGCATCGACAAGGCCAAAGTATTGTAAGAATTTTCATCTTAATACATTGAATTTGTTATGAAAAGAATCAAAGGAATGGAATGGAATGTAGTGAATTTGAAGAAAACAAGAAGCGCCCTCTTTACATTTTCTTTATAATTTATAACATGTTTGACAGTAAGTTTGGATGTCAGCATACAAGAGTGCCAGTGGCAGCTGCTATCAGTCCATTTATGAGCTTTCTGTAACCCACCCATAGCCCATGATAAAAAATGATGCATGATGTGTGAAAGGTAGCCCACACCACAGGGGAAACTTCTCCTACTCTTTTTAATTAGTAGGGTGGGTTCTTTTACGCCCCGTCAATTTGACTGATGAAAGAAGAATGAAGAAGACAAGGCCAACAGCTTTTTTATGTGTGTGTTAGACCCTTAAGTCTTGTCTGATTCAGGTGGCCAATGTCTTAGTTACAATATTGAAAAGCTCTAGACCTCCAACATTGTTTAGGAGGGACTTTGGGAAGTATTTCCATGCAGTGTTTGAGTTCGACCAAAGTTGCTTGACCCAATAATTTACATTTCTTTAATCTTCTTAGAAATAATTAACTCAACTCACGATGGCTTTAAATCCAACAAATCTATGGACTTGGACTTCATTACACCAGATTGCTCATACTCCAGGATAATACCTAGGTAAGTGAGACAAAAAATCAGTCTTAGAAGCCATGAATGATGAGCATGGGCTTGGTTAACTAAACATCATAGTAAATGGTTTGAACTCAGGGGTAAAGTGACATATCAAACAGAATTTGTTTGCCAAAAATTTGACCTCTACAATTGGCACAGTCACCCTCTAGACCTCCCAATTAGCTGATTTTTATGTATTTAAATTCTATAAAAACTCAGTGAGTTTGGTAAAAGTGCAGGGTCTTTAGGGGCACTTTTTTCAAACAGTATATAAAACACACATAAATATCAATGAACAAAATTAATGCTCTGCATGGGCAAGCCCAACTGGCAACCAGACTTGGTTTATGACACATTCAAGGCAACCCAAAGGAGAAAATGTCTCTTTCAGGAGGATCCACACAATAAAACTCTCGATACACACTTCATGGGCCTGATTCAATAGTCATGATCTTCTAAAAAGTCAAGTTGCTTGGATGGATGTCAGGACATCACATCATCATATTCCAAGATATTATTATCAAATTTCATGATGCTGTTTTTTGGTAACATTAAAATCATTGTAAACCTGTATTGTCTGATCTGTGCAATTCTTGCATTCTACTTTTACTTTTTTAAATTAAATGCTAAGTTTCAGAGCACCTCTATTAAGCAACTGAGGTTCCATTCCCACTGCACAAAGAATGAAGTTTGGATTGGCTGAATAATTTGACTGGACACTTTGTTCACACAGAACCGTTCAATATGTTCACTCTGTTCATAAGGACCTGACGAACCAGCTAAAATTTTATTTTTTTCATTGTTTTTAACATCTACCCATGAGCAGAGTGTTATTTAAGCAAATCCAAAATGGCATCACCTAGCTGAATAACCACAATCCATGCAACTAACCCTTTGCCATACAAAAACTTAAAAGCAGTTAAGGTCTTCACACAACATCGGTCAAATTTTTTACTGTACTGGCTAAAAATTTGACCTCCATTATGGTATTCAAATTTTTTATCTTCTAGGTGTAAGTTTTAGTACAGTTAAGTTGGTGGTTCCTTTTGAGCGGAACACCTAAATGCACAAATTTTCAACCCGTCAAAATTTGCCCACTGCCATGTGAACATAAGCTGATAATAATTATAAGAATGACAAAAGAAGGATCAAAATGCAGCACTTGGTTTTTAAGTCAAATACTAAGGAATGAGGCACTGTCATCTCCCACCAATCTGTCTGGGTTTGAATGCCACAGTGACAACATAGACCACCACAATCACACCTTTACCACCAGTAGTTGATCATGTGGATCAACATTGTGATTGTTTTAAGTTTTACACCTTATTTCTGCACAGAGAGTGGGTGGTTTCCCCACTACATTGTAATGGGGTGGCTCATTCCAAGTTTTCAGGGCTTTTGTATATTGCATTACAAGCAAGCTTTTCATTCAGCTGACCCATGTGGCTGTGTTTCGCCTGCTTGCTATAAATTTCCATGCATCCCTGTACCCTCCCTTTCATCCCTTGGTATCTTGGTCATCAGGCAAAGTTTTCTTTTCCCCTGAGTTTCTTACAATGATTATGGACCGTGTGGGCAGTGCTATAGAACACAAGGCCGAGGCCAGGTAATAAATATTTTCAAAAATAAGTGATAACCTTAAGCCCTTTAAATTTGGATTTACCATTTGAACTAAGTTATAAATTATAGCCCCAAATGAGTTAAATATGTCCTATATATACGGGTAACAATTTTGACGTAAGTAAGAATGTTTATTCATCTTCAATATTATGAAGTTAGTTCACTACTGTTCCCGGGGTATCCAATCAGTGGAAATCAATGATCTAAAAACCAACCGATCAATCGATAAAATTAGATAATGGTATCGATTGGTATTGGTCAATCAATGATCAATCGATAACCACACAAAAACCGTTCACTGATTGCTATCGATTGGCAAGCAACCTCGAACATATGATAACAGGATAAAAATTTTGCTTTGCACATGTAACATAGGGTCTCAAAGTTAATTAATACAAAGCACGCAGTTTCTAAAGCCATCCTCGATTAAGGCAGTCAGGTCTGTTCTCCTGATTTTAGTCTTAAATCTGCACAGACTATCCTCAGCACGTAATTCCGTTGTAAGTTTCGACCAGAGGAAAGGGCCATAGTATCTTAGTGAATGCTTTCCATATTTAATCGTATTAAAATGAGGCACATTGAAATACGAATTTCTTAAAGAATCTCCCCTGTCACTGTTTGCTTTCAGCATGAAAAGTTCCTGTATTTGCCTTAAAGAGGCTGTGTCACGGCAGTCCAGTTCATTTTGTTTAATTTGGCCAATTACTTGCCCTCAATCGCTACGGAACATAAAGTAAGCAGAGAAATTACAGGTAAATGACAAAATCAGAGATCCGAGACAAACAAATATGTCTCCTGAGCATTATTTTTGAAGTTGCAAGCAGCAGCGATCAACTTTGAAAAACTGTTAGGCTGATCAGTTTCAATAACCCTTATTTCAATCCGTTTCAATCTTCTTCAGTTTTGCTCTTCCGTAGCATCTGTTGTTTCTGTTATGTTATTTTAAGCTTCCTTTAAAGTTTTAAGCGGTTATTTTTATGTTTCTCTTAATTCAACGGGCATTTTGTAATTTCCTAATTTGGCTGAATTTCGTGACACAGCTCCTTTAAACATGAGAATGGCAATTTCCTGAAGCCTTCTGTTGACAAATGAAGGGAGTTCAGCCAGCCTCAGCAGTTCGTCATAGGAGACTGACTCATTGTTGAAAACCACTCCAAGGGCTCTCTCCTGTAATCTTTCAACTTTACGTTTGTCTGAGGCTCTGCAGAAATGACAAATGGTACTGCAGTAAGTCAAGTGAGGCAATATGGCAGCTTTGTATAGTTGTAACTTACCATGAGTGGGTATAAGTTTCCTTTGACGTCTTAAAATTCCTATCTGTTGGCTAGCCTTTTTGCAAATGTAGCTAATGTGCTCACTAAAATTAAGTTCAGAGTCCAGGAATACACCAAACAATTTGATAGATTTCAATTGTTCTATGTCAACTCCATCTATAGGCAGGTTTATATTATTTGCCTCAGATTCAGCACCCAGTACCATGGATTGATATTTCTGAACATTCACTTGTAGCAGGTTTTCCTTGTACCATATAGTGATCTTACTACCTTCACCTCAACGATACTAGTCGATGAGCCAGAGGCAAAGATTTGATGATCATCTGCATACGTAGAAATTTCCTCCTCAGTTATACACGTATAAGCAAGATCATTTTGAAATGAGTTCCACAAAAGGGAACAAACAAAGACCCCAGAGGACAACCTCTTATTGTATTTTTCCACTGACTGGTCACAGAACCCAGCTTGATCCTGTTTTGACTGTGAGAGAAATAAAAGCACAGAAGGTTAAGGGTACATCCTAAAAAGTTGTATGATTCCAGTTTCTTAATAAGTAATGGTGGGCTAACAGAATCAAATGCCTTACTCATGTCTGAGAATAATACTCCCACAACTTGTCTACTGTCCAGATCCATCTTCCATTTCTCAATTAGTCTCAGTAATGTGGTATCGCACCCACTGTTCTTTGCTAAGTTTGGGATCCATGTGCTCTGTAAACTGCTTACCCAGTAATTTCTCAAACAGCTTGTCAAGAGTTGGTAGAATTGTAATTGGTCGGTAATTCTTTTCTTCTTCTCTGCTATTACTCTTATAGACTGGTACCCATTCCCCTCTCTTCCAATCAGATAACAGTGTCCCTTGTCAATGCTAGTGTTGAAAATCCTAGTTAGTGAAGGAGCCAGTTCCTCAGCTATTAATTTTAAAATCCTGGGTTGCATGCCATCATATCCAGTTGCTTTACGTGTACTAAGATTTTCAAGGGCATCCTTCACTTCATGATGGCTTACTGGTCCGAAACAAAAGGGATTGTTTCATTCCTCTATATACATGTAGGTAGAGATGAGATGTAGACTGCTATGCTCAATAAAATCCTCTTCAGTTAAATCCTCTGCCTGCTCACCTCCTATTCCCTTGGCCATGGATGAAAAGTACTCAGAAAGATGCTCTGCTACCACAAGCTTATCTCTTTCCAATTTGCCTTCAGTGGATAAATGTATTTCTCTCTTCCTGTTATCCTCTTTGTCCTCTCTGTCCCAGAAGGTTTTGAAAGTTTGAAAAAAGTTCTTTGGATTACTCTTCAGATCGTGTGATATCTCCTTCCAGTACTGCTTTATGGCTATACACCTTTGTCGTGTTAGCCTCCGTAGCAAGCATTTCCTCGCGAGGTTCGTCTAGAAAGCTGGGACAAGAGCGAAAAAAAAAAATGAATGACAGGGGAGGGGGAGGGGAAAGAAGGAACCGCTTGCCCGCAAACCCCACGATTTTGAAAAACTGCGTTCGCCCACAAACGCAGCTTCTGATTGGCACGGTGCGGGTAGTGTTGATTACTTAGCATTCGAAACATCAATCAAACCAGGTATACTTTGTTTTCGTGCGCCACAGATCTGGTCTCATCTGATTTGTGGTCGCAGATTACAAATGCTTTGAACTGATATTATTTTATTTGAATCGTGTTTGTGCTAAGGTTTATGAGATCAGAGTCTTCAAAGTATAATTTGAGATCGAGCAGTGGAGACTAGGGAAGGCCAATTTATTGAGAATGACGGCGTGAGGATCCGACTGGAAAAAATGGACTGTTTGTTTGAGATAACATCAACATAAATCAGAACATCGGTACTCGACACTAGCTAAAGCCACCATGACCAAGCGAATTGTCAGCTTTTTGAAATGAAAAGATTCTTTTTGTTTATTGGAAATTTAGCGGCATCTATTGTAGAGAACGTTTCGACACAGGCTGAAGAGCAGCCGCTCTGCAAAACTTATACCCGGCGGAGTGAATTGTTCCGGACAAATCATTTTTGACGTGCCACACAATAAAAAACAAGAAATTCTGCAGCAATACCTCATAGTTTTAACTTTCTTTTATCGTAAATCTTTTTTATTACAGTTCTTGCAATCGTCTGCAACGTGTTCTATTAAAGAACAAAGTAATATTACAAATCTGGTAATCCAGGGGTGATCTGTTCGTATTTTGACGAGCTGTCAATTTACAAAATGAACCGAACCGTGAAATATCAAGGGGCGTTTTCCAGAATCGTGGGGTTTGCGGGCAAGCGTTTCCTCTTCTCCCCTCCCCCTTCAACTTTTTTTTTGCTTCCGCTCCAACTTTAGCACAATAACTCGATTGGAAACGCTCGCTACACAGGCTATTGTCGTGTGGCCTTATTCCTCGATTTCCTCTTGAGTTCCAAGTTTTGAGGTGTTTTGTTTTGGCTGTACCTTTTGGCAAACTTACGTTTAGCCCTTATGGCAGATTTCCATCCCGAAGTCATAAAGGGAACATCTTTTGCCCTGACTTTCATTTTCTTCATAGGCAAATGTTCCTGCAAAATGGTTCTCAGGAGTTTTTTCAGTAGTCATAACAATGAAACATCTCGCCAGTGAAACATCTCGTCAACATGCCAAGGTGCTATGCTGAGAGTCTCTTTCAGTTTACCTGTGTTAAGATTCTTGAAATGGGGAAAAGTAATCACTTTGCTATTATGATGCTTGATCCTTTCAGTCAGAAGAAAACTGATAAAGTGTGGAGGGGCCGTTGAAGAGAAAAAAGAGAGTATTCTTCTCCTGTTAACGTTCAAAGCATTAAAATGTGTTCACAATAACTGCGTACAAACCTGTGATATTTATGCACCAATTCCGTCAATCTGCTTTCAATCGATACCAATTGATATCAATTTATCTATCAATTGTTATTTGAAAATCAATACCAATTGATAACCATAGGAATCTTGGCCATCGATTATCAATATCCATTGGTATTGATTGATATTGATTGTCATTGATTAACGATTTCATCGATTGGATACCCCGGGTACTGTTGTCATGTGTTAATAGTTTAAGGTTGACATATTTTAACTGATTAGTTCTTTTCTTGTAACATGAATAGTTACTGTTCATGTTACAAGAAAAGGACTCTTTTCCAATCCAACGGTAAGCTTAAGTTTAAATAATGGATAGGTCCGAGTTGTTAAACTTGCTTTTACTGTCTCAATATGAATAGATAACGCAAGCTTAACTATGTTAAGTTAACTTGTTCCGAAATGTTCGGAATGAGTAGAGAGTAGTGTTTAACGCGAGTAATTAGGTTATTCAGCTAAACCAGACAGCAGACTGGTCGTCAATCATTCATACCTGGTGGATAGTACCGTAGTAAGAATTTTTTTAAACGCATTCCCGGTGACTGTTTAAGAATTTCATGCTAAATAATCCGAAGTTTATATCAGAACTTCCACTTCTTGGCTTCCAAAATGGCGCTTTGTAGCAGACTCGTTTCCAGTTTCCCACATATGCCAACTCTCCCGGATTTTCCGGGAGTCTCCCGGATACGGCACGGATCTCCCGCTCTCCCGTAGGGGTCACCAAACCTTCCGGATAAAATGGCCTTTTTAGCTTTTCTGTGCTTTATTTTGAAATTTAGCCCAATTTTTCTCCTCAAAATTCGAACTTTTTTTCTATTCATTGTACGGTTTCTGGGACATTTTTTGCACGTATTTCAGTCACTGACAAAGATTATTTCGCAGGGGTTTCGTTTCAGGCCGGACGCCGGACGCAACGTCCGGTTGTTTGACACATGACGTCCGGTAGTTCACACACGAAATGATTATTTTTTAAGTGTGAAAATCGTTTTTTTTTCCTCATTTATTAACCAAAGAAAGACTTGACCCTTATTTTACTCACTTAGTTAAGTAATGCATACAATCGATAGTGACTCAGCCTTTGGATCTGAAAATCGATATCAATCTTCGATTGTTATCGATTGCTATCGATTGATATCGGTTATCGGTTTATCGATTGACTACGCCTCGATTCGTACACTCTTTCCGATTGGAGTCCGTTTTGGAATCAACTAAAAAACGAACATCTGCAAACTGATAATTATAATTGCCAAATCAGTCAAATATTTATTTCTTGTGAGCATGGCTTTCAAGGCCTTAAA